TTATCGCTGTAACATCTACGGCTCGGTCGCTGTTTCGAGGTATGGCTTATTAGCCATACGAGTCAACGGGTCGTGGGTTCCGTGGTGGGTCTTGGAAGGAGACCTTACTGTAGGACATTAATAGTTTGAAGCAAACCTTTACATATAATTAGGTATATCTATAAACTACTGTAGATAATGTCTGTAGTTTACGTTAACTTATATATTCAGCGTTTTAAACCGTTAAACTGTTTTATTTGACCGTGTGTTCCAACTTAATATGTCTTCCATGGTCGTTTCAAGTTATGTAGTTGCTTTAATGATTGGTATCTCCATTTTTGTCGTTTACATGTCGTACTTGGATTAGACCCATTGGTATGATTAGAATAAAATACTGTCTATAGTTTACGCGAGTAGTACACATTTAAATAAAACACTTTAACGGTTTAAAAACGCGATATATTAGTTAAACTTATTTGAAAATGACTTTTAACTTCGACCCGACGTTTCGGATGCTTTGAAAAAAAAGGGAAGAAAAAAAAAAAAAGGGGGGGGGGGGGGGGGGGGGGGGGGGGGGGGGGGGGGGGGGGGGGGGGGAATTGGGGAAGGGGGGGGGGGGGGGGGGGGGGGGGGGGGTTTGGGGGGGGTTTTTTTTGGTTTGGGGAACCCTTTTTTTTTTTAAAATGTGTTCTCAGTTTTCAAAAGCACGTCACAAGGGAATCACGGGGTAGACAATTTTTGGGTATTGGCGGTGCACTGTGGTGTAAAATGAATAATTTTCAAATAAGTTTAACTAATATATCGCGTTTTAAACGGTTAAAGTGTTTTATTTAAATCTTGATTAATTGTATTAGGTCTGCCAATGTCGAAGGTTAGCGCTTTTAACTAAACAAACAAATTTCCCTTAATGATATGAAGTATAAATGTGCAATTCAGAAGCCCAAGTTAGGAATTTCCTCTTGAAATGTAGCGAGGTAATCTTATAGGCCGGGACGCGCCCGTGTCGTCCCGGGGGCGTGGGGTGAGGGGCGAGGGGCGTCCTCCTACATACAAGAAGGAATATCTCTAAGCGGCATTTGAAAATACATTTTGTATTTTGTAATAAATGGTGTAACTATTTTTTTGGTTTAAAATTCGCAGATTTAAAATCAATAAGACGTAGCTTACAAGTAGTAATGCAGACATTTTTTATTATATCTGTCTGTTTGTTTCGACTAATCGTCTGATTAATTAAATAAACGATGACGTAGACTAGTAGAGTTGATGAGGATGCATTTAATGGATGTTGGTAAGGAAAAAACGGCTCGACCAATCTTGATTACGTTTGGTGTAACTATACACATAGCTTAAAACTACGACTTATTTGTACTACGTTATACGTCATATTGTAACATGGCCAATAATCTCTCTTTATAACACAAATACAGAGGACTTACTTAACTGTTACTGAAGGATAGATAGACTTTTCGATACACTTAAATGGTCTCATATATACAAGTAAACAGAAATAATTAAAACATGTAAAATCCCGTTTCCCCCCGTGGGGAGGGGGGGGGTGAAGCATTGTGAACATATTTCTGTGCTTTACTGCACACAACTTATCATATCAAAATCTGTTAAGCACTTATGGCTATGTGATCAAGAAACCATACGCGAAAAAGCGGTTGAACAACGAAAGTAAAACAGTTAAGTTATCCTCTTTGTTTTCAATCCGTATTAATGTATCGGTGATGTCACCGCTTCGGAGTTATAGGTCAATTATTGCTGCATTGATATCTGAGATGGAAAACCTGTAGTACTATTGGATAGATGGTAACGATACTGTCTATAGTTTACGCGAGTAGTACGCATTTAAATAAAACACTTAACGGTTTAAAACGCGATGTATTAGTTAAACTTATTTGAGCATCCGAAACGTCGGGCCGAAGTTAAAAATCATTTTCAAATTAGTTTAACTAATATGTTTTAAAACGTTAAAGTGTTTTATTTAAATAGATGGTAACGAAATATCATTGGATACATAACATTGTATTGATTCGAGCCCAGGACCCAGGAGGATAATTATTTTAATAGCCCGTAAACATTCTTAAATTAATTTTAAATGTTATTATTATGTTTAACTTAAGATTAAGCTTTAAATATCGCTTTAAGTCTCAAAGCACACATAATAATAATAATAAACTATTGCACAAACATAGAAATAAGAACTTAGAATTATATATACAAAATAAAACATGTTACACATACAGTTTTCAATAGATTTTTTTCATGATCGCGGAGGACAAACACTATTCTTGTGTTTATATGTCTTGTGAATAATTTTCCCCGTGTTTTCCACATTTCCCTCTATTTCTTAGCTCCTGTTGACCGCGGCCTGATGTTCCACAGCTTTAAGCCTTCCTCGATCAATGGTCTAACCAACATAAGAATAATTTTCAAATCGAGTAGTTCCTGAGATTAGCACTTTCAAACAAACTAACTCTTCAACTTTATAATATTACTATAGATATTTAATTTCACTGCGTCATTGAAAAAGAAAAATGTCATTTCTGTTTGCGATAGTCCGCTGATACCACTTCATTCAGATATGGTCACCACGCTTCCTCTTCGTGTAAGTGTGTTTCGGTACGATGTTGACGAGAACAAGAATTGCCACCGCAAGTCAACCGTGATAACGTTATCAGCGATAGCCTTGCTCAGGGGATTCTGTGAAGCCACATAGGATAACCTATTACCGCTTGTATCGCGGCTACCCTCGTACCAAAGCCCACTGGCCAGCAGTATTTTTTATGCGTTCATGAGATCATGAGTATTGTTTTAACAACACACGCCATTCTATATTTTTTTTTTAAAAAATCCTATTTCAATTCGTATAAGTATTATGTTTTTAAATATTGATAAATAATACATTTGTAATGACTAATAGATTAATTAGAAACTCGAATTTCTCTTTAAAACTTTTCCATCCATGGACTGGTAGGTACGTGATTTTGTCTATTTTATAAATATAAATAAAACACTTTTAACGTTTTTTTTTTTTTTTTTTTTTTTTTTTTTTTTTTTTTTTTTTTTTTTTTTTTTTTTTTTTTTTTTGGGGGGGGGGGGGCGGGGGCGGGGGGGGGGGGCCCCCCCCCCGGGGGGGGGGGGGAAAAAAAAAATTTTTTTAAAAATTTTTTTAAATTTTTTTTTTTTTTTTTTTTTTTTTTTTTTTTTTTTTTTTTTTTTTTTCTCGCTAAAACTAGAGACTGTTTTTATTTTTACACTTTTAACGGCTTAAAACGCAAAATGATTAGTTGACTTACATATATTCATTTTAACTCCGGCCTGACGCTTCGGACGACTGCAGCCATGGACACGGGGTGATGTTCCTCCATGTCTATGACCACCGTTAAAAGTGATTTATTTAAATGTGTACTACCCGCGTAAACTACAGACCGTAGTTTATTCCTTCAAATATTTCATAGATTGACTCCAAGCCTACGTGTCCCGGTGGGAATCGAACCCAGATCCTGTTGATTAGTTGCCAGGACCAGGACCAACGAAGCCGGCATACTTTTCGTACATAATAGTGTCATTCCTATCTGCGTCACTGGAACGAAAAGAGGTCGACGGGGCCGCGCTCTCGCCAGCCAACAAAGACCGGTGCGGTGCCAGTGCTATATTCAACGAGAATTATAATCCACTAGTGGTGCCCTGCGACGCTTCTCGCGTTTCGTCCAGTGGCGTCCAGGTATTTCTTTACTATGGCAACACTTTCCATTGATGATACATCTGCAGACTTGTTGTCCGTTGCATATAAATCCTAAAGATCCTAGGTTCGAATGGCGGAGAATAAATATTATCACACACAATACAAAGACCAATCCACTGCGCCGTAACTAAAAATCAAACACAAATATTAGTTAACTAAAATTTAGCTTCTGTATCTTCTGTAACTTCGTGATAGTTTAAAATATAAAATAAATAATTAAAAATGTAGACTGTCAACTGTTTATTTATTCTCTTAACTATATACACTTTTTTTTAATCAAGTATAATACTGAATATTTCTTATACGACCGCAAGCTCTTAAGAATTACCAATTGGCTTTTTGGAAGTCGTACGCTGGTAATATACTATCTACATATTTGAGAGATGTGTTTTGTAGGCGGTAATTTATTCGTGGTCGCTCGCAGTCGACACCAAATCTATACCTCGTTGTAGATGATATAACTATATATTTAGAGGTAGGTATAGATATGGCTAGAGTTTATTAAAAAAAAAACACTTTCGGTATTACCGACTCAAAAAAGCATCGGAAACGTCAGGCCGTAGTTACAAACAAGTTTGACTAATATATATCGCGTTTTAAACCGTTAAAATGTTGTATTCAAATGCGCACTACTCGCGTAAACTACGGACAGTGTTGGGAGTTTGTTAGTTTGAACATAAACATCTCGGCAAGTACTTCTTTGAATTTAAGTTAGTGACCTCGACGATCTAATGCTGGCTTCAACAATGCACTCTGCGCCTGCGCTTCTGTTGAATTATACCTCTCATATGACAGTGCATTTGCGCACATCAATTCTGTACTTCGGTTGCCAAACACGTAGATGGGGAATGGAATTATTCATCAAAACAAAGAGTTTGCCATTCGAATAAATTTAACATCTTCTATGCTTCGTAAGAAGAAATAGTATTTTAACCCCCCCTTCTTTAGATAACAAATACCGTTACTTTATGAATTCATTTAGGTATAACCAATTATGTAACTAATAAATTATTTTGACTTGTATGGTACAAATAAGACTGAAACTCACTAGCAAGAGTAATTTGTGCTGTGCTCCATCCATTTATTTTTATAAATGGATGGAGCTTAACGGTAATGGGTTCGAGGTCCGCCCGTGCTTTTTACAGTAATGTTAGTTACTTGCTGTAGTTGAAGCGAGAAACAGTAACATCGCTATGTGGTAAACACAAAACAGCAAGCTATCGCCTAATTGGGTTGCCGCGGTCGAATAGATTGGTCTCTATTCAGATCGTTAGAGGCACTGCTTGAGTGAGGTGACCGCGAGGCCACCACCTGACTCTGTAGCAGCTGGCGGCCGGCTGCTTGCGACCGCCCGTACTTCGAAACTTGTTTCCAAGCAGACGTTTACAATATGGCGAGCTAACATTTTAAAAATCGTGCAAGAACACTCTCTTGTCGTAACGGCGTCCTTCTCTGCTACGTATTGAAGATCAATTAAATTAAACTCCATTTACAAACAAAACGATACGTGTATCGCTGACTCTTTATTAACGTTTCGATTCAAATGTGTTTTGACACTATTAACACAAAATTTTATCAAAATCATTCAAGCCGATCTGACGTGAATGAGTTACAAATAAACATCCGGTCATCTTCATTAATGTTTAAAGCTAAGGAGGTTGTTTGAACGCGCTTATCTCAGAAATTACTTGTGGTGAAATTATTTTTTTTGTTCATTAGAGCATTTTTCAAGGAAGGTTTTAAAACATCGATGCGTACGCAGCAAAAACGGTTCAAGATGCCCAAAAAATATACATGGAAGAAAGATTTCTTCTAAAAAAAATCTTTTAAGATAAAATCGCAAGAACGTCGGAACGCGAGTAACGACCAGGGCAATTGCTTATGTTGAAGAGGGGTTTGCAAAATTAAATTTTAAAGCCCAAACTCAATGGGACGAGTACTGACACGGCAAGTTGGTAATATTAGTCAAAAGTACCTACATAGGTGTTTACGAATCTAGAATATAATCATGAACGAAACTTCACTCATTGTCGCACTATCTGTTGTTGTAAATTCAAATGTTGTCCGGTAAGTTGTTGTCCTTTGCTGCGTCCGTATTTTTCCGATGTTACAAGCCGCTTGTTTACACCTACTGCGGTAGGTATATATACTTCGTATAGAACGCGTAGGTCGAAGCAGCGGCGGCCGATAGCTGGCAACCGACGCAGCGCGACCCTGATAATTTTCTGCGCTTATGTTACTATGGCTTCTTGCGACACGATATCGCTCCTTTCCTGCCCTTGCTTTCAGTATTCTTAATAGTTATCGGTATAAGATTTTGTACGTCTTTATAGATCAAACCGTAACTTAGTTACAGGAAAACGTTTCTTGTACGTACTAACCTAACATTATTTTAATATGGCGCGGCAATTTCAGTCTTATCGCAGTAATTAATTAATGGTCTTGTACAAACCACTTGCCACAGAGTGCAGAGAAGGCATTTTCTTTAGCGTGCTATTATAATGTAACGAGCGAGTTTCATATATACCAACACCTGATATACACCTTCAGCGACGTTTAAAATCTACTGTCTCTTCTTTTTGAATATAAGACAGATAAACGTGTGATTTCGGTATGTATTTTCTGCGAGTAAGCGTGACCAATAAGGAATGTATTGCTGCTAATATCATCTGCGCTAAGCAGCACCTCCGCTATCTGGTGGTTCGATAACTCGCTATCTGTGGCTCGGGCGTCAGGCACGAGGGCCGTGTTAGTTCGGATCGGTTGCCAGCACATGTTGCGGAACGTGCGGCAGAGCGGGGAGGGCGGGTGAACCAGGGACGGCGTCATGTCACACCGGCTCACGACACGCACACAGGCGCACAGCCCGACGCCCGACGTCCGCGCGTCATCTTATCGTGGCCATCTTGAAATAGGCACGCTGCACAAACCGACTTCGGGTTCCGCTGGTGCCACAATGGCCGACGCTGCAGTCGAAACGATTAGTGGCCTATCTTCAAGGTCACGATTACCAGTCGGACCGGTGACATAAAATGACGTTTCAATTATGTTAATACGGCCTCAAGCGAAACTATTTTTTTCGCTTCCAGTATATATCGCTGCTTGAATTATCGTATAGGTAGCACGGTGGATGTCGCTATCATCTCGCGTATCGATCTCTGTGGGGTGGGCGGCATCTCCACGGATCAAGCGGCACCGTGAACCAGGGTAGAGGCTGCCGGGCGGGTGATAAAGGAAAACTGCCTACGCGGCCGGCCCCTGGCGGGTGTTGTCGCCCGTCTATATATAGCTCGTGTTGGCGAAGCTACGGCGACCGCACCCGTCGCCGTCGTCGCCACATCGACCGACGAAAGGTCAATTGGCGCGCGAAATATTTGCGTCGCAAACTCGGCGACGCTGCAACGGCCGAGCTCTGCTGACTATCGTATTCGTTTCCTGTTGTACAAGGACGTATATACTTTTCAATCTATACGAATTATAAAGTTGCAGAGTTAGTTTGTTTGGTCGCGCTAATCTCAGGAACTACTGGTTTGAATTTGAAAATTACTTTCGTGTTGTTACACCATTTAAAGGGGAAGGTTTACGCTATATAACACCAACTGATGCTACTAATAGAAGCGAAGAAAGTCTCTTTCTGAAAATGTGAAATAACGGGGAAAATTATTCATCTTTGAGGGATTCCGGCGCGTGCGTAAACGGTTCATGATACCCAAAAGAGTATAAATGAATTATGCTTTTTCAAACAATCTAAAGAAATGCCCACGACAGTATGTTTGTTTTGAGATAAACTTACAAGAACTGTTGTATGGTAATAAAATTTGTCAAAATACTTCGCATGGCAAGAGAACTTTTGCCAGATCAGCTAGTCCAATAAGGCAACAGTATGAACATGCAATAAATTTTCGAATCAAACAAATGAAGAGCAGGCACCGTACCACCGCCACGAAGATTTCAAGGCCCACACGTACATTCTAAACATCTCTAAGATACCGTATCGATAGTATAATGTAGTTTATCCAGCTCTACCTATTTAAGAGTGAGGTTAGTCACACGGAATGTCTGCACTCAGCGCCGACTCAACCTACAAGAATATGACGCCACCTTTTTATTCACACATATACGCTATGTACTTATGTACGGAGATCGTGTGCTTCAATAAAGAAAAATAATCTCTTGCGCCTTATCGCAGCACTATCAGCTAAACCAAGGTATAACAGAATGACGTTGGTATGCCATATGCTATTTAATGAGCATTAAGGATAATGAAAATTATTGTACATGGGAAGATTAGAGTTGCCATTTGTAAGACTTATTTGTAATTGCAAAACGTTTTATTGCAATTAACACATCTACACCAAATAACAACTAAATTACGTAAATTAGTAATAGATAAATAATAAAAATAGCAATTGGTACCAGTCTCAGCTGTGCTGCTGAATGCTTGTCTCACTCAGCAGCGCTGGTTTTCAGATTGGCCCGGGTATAGTAGAAGTAGTAGAAGAATATTGAAGTTATATAACGAAGTCAAAGATAGTAACCATAATGTACACACAGATAATTCTATTGTTATAAGACCGAGTTAGACATCCCAAGTTCTCAGTTTCAAGCTTTTAAAAAATCCACCTATCAAACCTAGTGGGGCGCAAAAAAAAAAAAATCTTTTCCCCTTCCCCCAAGGAAGGGACACCCCGGTAAAAAAAACCCCAAAATTTAATTTTAGGTCCCCAAAGAAAAGGGGGGGTTCCCCAAGAAAATTTCGAACCCAAGACCAAATGTGTAGTCGCTTTGTCAATTCAGCTATTGGTTCTCAAATTTCAAGCGCAAAGATCTAGCGTACAAATTATTAAGTATTACCTAATGGTAACAAAGGGAAATAGGCAATCAAAGAATGTTAACATAACTATATTTATACTCCTTACGAATTTTTTAATTTAAACTACAAACGCACATAGCCATGGACATAGCGAATAGGTACATTTATTCTATACTTAGGTAAATTATAAATGTAATTTTTCATAAGTTACATTATAAGAAGCGTCTATAAAAAAGCGATTGATTTTCAAATGTTTTTTCTATTTCATTAAAAAAACAAATGGTGTAACATGTGAGAACTACGGCAGTGTTCTCGAGTGACATGTAAGGGTTTGGATTTTGCAAAATTTTACATCAGACATCCGAGATACTTTACTGGAAAAATCTATTTTATACGAGTGATTCGCGTTATCCAAGATGTTACAAATGAAAGTTACGTCCTATAATTTTAAATGACATGCCTGTATCGTGGACTGTATCAAACTTAAGACGAGAGTGAAAGGAATGCCTTTACGATGTTACTTGCGTATGATACATATATAGATTCCAGTAAATAGTTAATTTAAAAGTGGAGAAATGTTTTCAACAGAAAACGAAGGAAATATTCATTCAAGCCCTGTGTTTAATTTCGCTATTTATTTACTAATGCGTTAATTTGAGAAAATTATTACGTCATCAAATACTGTCTGTAGTTTAGGTGGATAGTAGAAGTCACTTAACCGTTTAAAACGCGAAATATATTAGTTAAACTTATTTGAAAATTATTTCAACTGCAGCCCGACGTATCGGCTGCTTTGCAGCAGCCGTGGCCACGAGGAGACGTTATTACGTGATTATTTAGAATTTATTGTTCATTTATCGGAAACGTCGTTTTCTTGTTTTTACTAAAATCGATCAACATATCATTGTTTTCGGGCTGTTCGGCCGACGTGAGCGAGAAGAGGTCGACATTTCGCCATCACGAGCGGACGGCATCACCAGGAGATGCTAGCTCCTCGATTGCTACAAATTATTAAAATCGATCAAGTTCTTTAGCAGTATAAGAGTAACGAACATACACCACAAACTGTCTCGCATAATATCGGATATAAAAGCCGAATGTCGCTCCCGTGAACTATAAAGATCGCAGTGGTAACCGCTAACCCCGCATCCCCAGCGCCGGCTGTGCCGCTATAAATACACAGCAGGTGTGGAGAGTGCGGGTCGAGGGGCGCGCGGGGCATCCGCCTCAGCAGCGCTCCGAACCGTTCGCAGCGACCAGCGGACCTTAGCGACGCCATATCGATTCGATGGCTCCCCCTGCGACGCGCCGCCTCCATTGTGAGGCTGAGATGCCTTCTCCGACGCTTCCTGCGCTGTCGGGTCGTGTACTCGACACAGGATAGTTATCCCACCAAGATGTTCACCAGCTGCTAAATAACCGTACCACGTAATTAGCAATCTTTGCTACGCTGATTTTAAATGCTGGATTTCTTAATGTGTATGCTGGTGACAAACATGGGTTTATCTAGTCAGAAAGTGCAATGTTAGGGACATAATTGAATGAGATGCCCCGACGACCTATTTTTCATTCGATACATTAAACACTGTCTATAGTTACGAGTAGTACACATTTGAATAAAACACTAATAGTTTAAAACCCAAAATATATTAGTTAAACTTATTTCCACCGTATTTTAAATAATATTGCGTTTTAAAGGGTCTTATTTAAATGCGACGTATTGCTAGATAATGTTAGATCAATTCAAACCGCTTCCTGAGAAATTATTTAATAAAAATGTTTAATTTAAATCTATTACCTATTAATTACACTTAACCTAGAAGCAATGAAATTGGTTCCTTAATATAAACTTAAAATCGACGTTTTTAAGTAAAAAAAAACATTAAATTATATTCTTTTCAGTAAAATAAGAAATGTGAAACAGAATCTAAATTGTTCTGGCCCTTATCATTCCTACCGATTGTAGAAGACACGTAATTCTAAGGACGTACAAAGTATAGTATTTGAATATGTTCTTGCCTGAGAAGTATTTGATATTGGCAGTCGGGAGAGGTCGCTGTGGTGCTCCTAATTCAATAAGACATTTTTACTCTGCGATAGACCTAAAAATGTAACACAAATAAATATCACTTCTAATTGTGTGGTTGGTAAACGACACCTATTTAAATAAAACATTTTAACGGCCTAAAAGCGATATATGGTCAAAATTATTTGGAAATCACTTTAACTAACATATATCGCGTTTTAAACCGTTAAAATATTTTATTCAAATGTGTACCACTCATTTAAACTACAGACAGTATTTACATCTAATTTTAAATAATCTAGGCTAGTCTTTCGTAGAGGAAACATTTTAAAACATTCTCTAGTGACAAAATAATGCTGGAACCCGATTCTGTTATACCATAAGTGACTTAACACAAGGCCGCTTTTGATGCAGCGCTGGCTAATTAATTAAATACTATAGGTTACATGACAGCGATGTCCTGTTTTTCAGAGTGAAATGTTCGTCAATTGACTATGAATAAACGATAGTTGTCGTCTATACTTTGTCTACAATAGGTTGACAATATATTACTTTGGCAATTTATTTAATCATAGGTAAACAAACAAAACACAAACTCAAAACAAAACCCAATATTAGGGATGGAGTTTTATTTAATCCCTTATGATCTACATAGTTTGGAATTTATACATAAACACACGTTATGCAAGTACAATTTTTAATGCGATGTGATATTAAAAAGTACCGCTCGTTTCTTTTAATTCTATCTAATAGTTTTATGAAACTCAATCTTTTTTTATTATTCGTTTCTCAAAGTGGGCGTTACCCGCCATCGTGCACTGCCAAACTTGTCAATCTATATTAGACGAAGTATAGTTCTAAACATGATCAATAAAATCTAAAAATACGATTACAAATGAGGCAGTATTACCTGTTTTCCCTTTTTGCGGAAAACGACTACTTAATCGCTTCTAGTCTTAGACAAAAGTTATATAATTTAAATAATCGTAAAACAGTTAAGAATTAGCTTATCTTTTGTCTCCACGTCTCGATGTTTATACCCGTTGCATTCTTTGTTCGTGGTCTTGGGTCAGAATTCCGGGGAAAGATAATAAATCTGTAGGTCCATGTTAAGTGTGTTACGTGCCTATCCCATTGCGAATTTATTAGTAAAATTGAACCAAAAATGCGTCTTCCCGACGTAAAGAAAATTGGTTCTCAGCTATATGGCTTTTAAAAAAATGTTTATTATACTGATGAATATAATTGTGTACCTAAGAGTACATACCAGTTGGGTACTGTAATTGCATCTACTTGGTGTTAAAACATATTGATATGAATGTGGGCGTCCAGAATAAAACCAATGTTTTGTTACACCATTTACGAATGTTCGACCAGAATATATCTCGACTATAGTATATTTAGAGTAGTAAGTTTAATGGTAGCTTGTGATGATTTGTTAATTCTCTAAAACCCACTTATTCACTGCGCGAGCCATATCGTTTACCTGCGGGCTACGAATTTGTAGGTAGGTAGGTAATATTTCATCTGTTCCTTTGAAGACCGTCTTAAAATAAATATCACAAGCAAACTTATTCGCTTTTCACAGCTTGATAGCCATATTATAATTAGTTATAAACATTATTGTTACTTACGTAGGTATAACTGGTCTTTAACAAAGCAGAATTAAGCATTAACCATTCGGCTTTATGCAATTATTGTTTTTCTTTAGTGTGAATGACCCAAGTTCATGAAACATTGTCGATGTGTTTGGAAAAGTATTTTTATAATAAGAATTCGGTGACTCTGGCGAAACTCGAACCCATGACTAACAGTGTACCGTGCCGTCGGTCGTGAGTTCGAGCCCGACTTGTATCAACGTTTTAACTATCTAATTTCAACACATATAATCTCTCGTGACATTTAGCAATGCGCTACTAATATCAAACTCGGCAGCTTCGCACTGGTTCCCCTAACCTCTCCCGGCATTGCGGAGGATGAAAAACATCGACACGACGTCGGATGATGGACCCTCCTCACCCGTCCCGCACCCACGGGCCTCGAGGCCGACCCGCTAACGTCAGCCACAAGCGGGCGCTTGCCGCTCGCCGGAGCGGCGTGGCCGGTCTCATTCAGACGGCGTCTTTCCCGCGCTCCGCACATGACCGCCGCCGTGCGTCGCTCGGCGCCTCTCACGCCGTGCACCACCCGCGTCCCCCCCGACCCGTCCACCGCGCGCCTCGCTCGACGTAAACGTTTAACCGACTCCGACAATTGTTTTGTTCCAGCGGACTATGCTACACCAGATCCCCTTAGCGCCGAAGGTTGGGGACTTCGCGCCCGTCTCGCGCGCCTTCGACGGCCGCGCAGTGGGAGATGCCTCCTCGGAAGCCTCGTCCGATGCGGCGGAAGATATAGATCTGCCCGACTGCAAAATTAAGAGGAATTACAGCTGCACCAAATGCAAGTTTTACACGCAGAACCCTCGCGTATATCTGATGCATACGAGAGATGTGCACTTTGAACGGTTCAAGATATACGACTGCCCTCAGTGCACATACGCTTCGCGGCATAACCAGAAGCTAATGAGACATATTAAGACGCATCACGCGGAAGCGAGAATGGACACGTTTAAAGCCATCACGAATACTGCGGAAAGCGCAGAGGAGCAAAGAAATATGGAAGATTTAATGGAGGAGGTCGAAGATAACGATGACATGCAAGTCGATATTGAAGAGTGTGAGGAGCCTAGCGATCGCCAAAAAGTCGATGAACAACCCATCGTCGAAGGGACAGCAGGAAAAAGGCTGATAAAATTCTACTCCTGCGAGAAGTGCTGCTATGTAACACATATGAAAACTCGATATACGAAGCACGTCAAGTACCACTCTCTGCCGATGATCAAGTGTTCCGTGTGCGATTTCAGAACACCGTACAAGTGGAACTTGGACCGTCACATGAGAAACCACGGCGGGAGCGGTAACTTCCAATGCACGGTGTGCAACTTCACTACGGACATTAGACAAAGCATGACCGTCCACGAGATTAATCACCACGAACAAAGCTCGGGGCAGGCGAGGTCGAACCGTCGGAACCGCGTGGGCGGCAGCGATCTGACTAGCGCGATGGATGAGTGCGATGAGGAGTCGCTTATCGTGAGAGAGGAAGAAAGCTGTGACTCACAATCATCGGTGAGTCTCGATGTGAGTGCGTGGGGTCCATTGGAGTCGAGGGGGTGCGGCGGCGCTGGCTGCGCTCCCCTCGCACACACACTTACACTTTGCTTGCGCGTGTGCATGCGATCCCCGCTTGTGTGACATGCATGACATTATCCATAATAGAACTAGATTTATCGTATATATTTCGTTGTAGTTGAAACGTATTGCGTTTAAGAATGATACTTATGTTTGATGGAAAAAATTTTTTTTCTATTTTTTATTATGTTTAGAAGCGTTTCCTATGTTTAAAAAGAAGTTAAGCATAGCCCGATTAAAAAAATACTATGGCGCTAAAAACATTAACACATGTTATTAAATAGAGAACTGTTCCAGTTGTTTACTGCAAATAGATCTAATAATAAAGCCACAAATAGTCATTGCGTAGTAACTTAGATCTAGACATTAACAATAATAATATATATATTAGTTGTTAGATTTTCAAGTCCTATCGAGGAAGACAGTGTTTCATTGACAGTGTAGTTGAACAATACTATCATTTAATTATGTTATATTAAGTACTATTTTTTTTTAAATATTACCATAAACGTACCTACAATTTAAGTCACATAAAATATTGCAAAAAATCACGCAGGAAAATTAAACAGCTGTTTAATTTTCCTGCGTTTTCCAGCACTATTGATCATTAATTTTTCCCTCATAACAGCTTTATACGTTTGTTTTCAAAAGCCTTAAACCTTTAAGTTTTTGTTTAAAAACAGTGTACATGCATACCTATATTATGGTTGTGATAAAGTTAAAATATTAATTAAACAATAAAGCTCAATATATTTTATGCATTAAATAACATAAACTGTTTAAACCGTAAGGATGTCACTGCCAAAATATCTAATCAAAATTATATAAATGTCCCATTTATCTGGTAACCGGACATGCAATTTTCTAAACGCGACAGCCCTATCTAGTGGTGACGTCATAGCTGTTATCACTTATCAATAGTACAGCTTCGCTGCGACCTGCGACTGTTTCATCCCTAGTTGCATCATGATTACGCATATTGATTTGCACGACATACAACTTTTTATAAATTGTATCATTGCCATTTTGGTCGATTTTATTTTCGCCTTATCTAAAGAATAGTTTGTCCTTTATTTGTCATAACATACATCGTTACATTTTAGAGATTTTTCACACTTACTCACTTGATTCACGTGCAATTGTTCCCCCAATACCTCCCTCGTTTTGTTTAGATGAGAATGTTGATCTCTAAGCGCGTCTTGGTGAAATTATTTAACGGGTCGAATATGCCATAATAACCCCTCTACACTCTTATAATTTGTGAATTCTAATATTTACATAGATATTTCTTATGTTCCGGACGTTTTTACGCCTACATTTTGATTTATAGCTTTTTTTTATATATATAGACGTATACAACTACATTGCTATTTGTGTGTTAGGTTTTTTTTTTATTTAGATGTACCACTATGACTTTCAGTCCAGTTTGTTTGAGTAGTATGAGAATTAATTCGGATATTTATAGTTGTTTTTGTTGTCAACTTTGTTGCATTGAGTTATAAATACTTCTTTTTAACTTTACGTAAATTTAAATGTACTGTTATATGTTAAAAATATTTGTTTCGTTATATATATTTTCTCTTCTCTTTATTTCAGGATATGGGGATGCAATTTACCGGAAAAGAAATGGTCAACAGCGATTCTAATGACGCCATACAAATGACGGAAGGTATGGTATATAATGGGGCGGAGCCTCCACAAAATGCACGAACGGAACGCAGATCTTCACAAGCAAACGGAGATGAGTCAAAGAAGCAATGCAAAAAAGCTCCTCGGCCCATACCACAACTTATACCACTAAATACTTCCACCCCCAACCAAAAGGCACCAACAGGTGAACCACCAGCCAAAAAACTTAAAGAGAGTTTAGATACAACGGAGCTCAATATTAAAAATACAGGCCTCGATGTGTCTTTAACACCAGTCGTTAATTTACCAGGGAAAGATGCCGTAAGTCGAAAGAAAAATGAGTCATTTTTTGATAGATTAAAAGAACGAATCCTAACAGAAACCGGAGAAGAAGGTTCGCTGATATGCAAAAACTGCGGCTTCGAGAGCAAATGTTTGTCAGAACATTCAGTTCACGAGAAAAACTGTATAAATCAGTCAAATAGATCCACACACACGCTGCTCCCCAGTACAAGTTCAACACGTTGCCAAAACTGCAGACATAGGTGTAAATCTAGTGCCGATTTAATGACGCACCTTAAAACATGTGGAAAATATTTAAAAAGGGACGATGAGAGAAACGAAGAAATGCATAATCAAGATAGTAATGAGACGGCTACTACTGAGAAAGAAATTGAGCCGCATCCGATGGAAAATGTTGTTTTTGTCTGGAATAATATAAATACTAGTTCCAATAAATTTGACACTCCACTTGGCATCAATATCAATGACGACTCAACGATGCCAGAGAATAGACTGCTCGAGTCTGAAATCGTAGATGACAATGAAACAATGAATTTGTCTCCTAGCCAGGCGGTAGGGAAGAAAGTTTTCAAATGTCCTCACTGTCTTTTCTGGGCATCGACTGCGTCACGATTCCACGTTCATATAGTAGCACATCTTAACAGGAAACCCTTCGAATGCTCCTTATGCAAATATAAATCTAACTGGCGCTGGGACATTACAAAACACATAAAACTTAAGTCGGCTAGAGATCCAGAACACGTTGACGCTAAAGTTTTGATGACTGATGAAACTGGCCGTCGTAATTACAGCAAATACAACAGGTTCCTTGCTATGCCAATTCTTAATGAAAAAGGGGAGAATGAGTTTCATTATATAGACCCCAATACGAATGTGGATGCAAGTTTAGACGATGATTCGCTCTATGATGTCAACGAAAGTGTTAATTCTACTTACGATAATTCACAGCCACTTAATTTACAAACGCAACAAAATGATAGTAGATTTGAAACAGATAATTCGGGCAACAAGAAGTCGAAGAAGACTATTTGGAAGTGCAAAAAATGCAACTACAAGTAAGTATAAAAATTCCAACAGTTTTATTCCGATATGAAACATTATTTTTTATGGTTTTGTACCATTTATTGTATGAATTAGCGCCCTGGTAGTAAAATTTAGACAAAAATATTGTATGCATGGCGGTGTGATATTGTATTGTCATGACACTTCAACCATTTAATTTTTCTACGTAAACTGCGTTTTCAATCGACTATAGTTTATCTATCGTGTTTTCATATCTACGGGATGTATTTTTCTTACATTATTGTTATTCGATCAGTTTTGGATTAGCTCTACGATAATCAAATCTGACTATGAGTGACGATTAGGTGACTAAGTACAAAGAAACTTATTATAAAAGTGCAGTGGAATATATGGGTCTGTTGAATTTCATTAGATTATTTGATGGTAAAAAGTGTTCAATATTTATTAACTATGGTTTATTACGCACGCGTGCAAACACATATAACATGTTTTATTAATGTTTGGTGTAATATGTAACTATGAAGAATTTATAAAACTCTACTGTTTGGACTAAAACACAACAACAAAAGTCACCAGAAATAGGTGATATTCAAATTGTAACAACGAACAAGATATACCTAATTCGAAGAAAACTGTTCAGCTGAGATACTACTGTTTTCAACCCTTAGTAATCTAATTGTTTTTTTTAATTCATCTTATTCAGTGTAGTGAATACGGATGTGTGTACAGACAACGCCATAGAAAAGAAATCAATAGGAGAAGAATAGAAATGAGGAAACGTAAGAAAAATCACTCACCTTTTCTGCATCCTCTTGTCTAACAATGAGCAACAGCGCCGATACCGAACAAGAAGCAAAAACCACAGAACCCCCCCACAACCCCCCACCCCCCCACCAAAGGGGCCACCCCCCCAAACCCCCCCCCCCCCCCAAAAAAAAAAAAACCAAAAAAAAAAAAGGGGGGGGGGGGGGGGATGTGAGTCACCGTTCAAATACCTATCTGTATGGGTTGTTTTTCTAAAGACGGTATGCCCAATACGTGTTCATACAAAAAAAGGGGAAAGGGGGTGTGTTTTTGTCCTCCTGTTCCATTGTAAACTTAATGTTATTGTGAATTGAGTTAAGGTGTGTAAGAAAACTGTTCAGCTGAGATACTACTGATATCAACCCTAAGTAATTTAATTGTATCTTTTTAATTTATCGTTTTAATTGGAGTAGGGAAAAGGAAACGGGGAAAAATAAACCGCCAAAAGACGAAATCAATAGGAGAAGAATAGAAATGAGGAAACGTAAGAAAAATCCTCACCTTTTCCATCCTCTGTCTAACAATGACAACAGCGCCGATACCGAACAAGAAGCAAAAAAAAAACAAATGTTGAATTCACATAAAGAGAGACAAAAACAATACTACGAGAGGCACATGGAAGAAATAGACAGGCGCAAAAGAGACCGTGGCTACGAAACACAAAACCGCTATCTCAACTGAACGTAATCGTATTTATTAGGAGCTGAAGATAGAGAAGATCAATGAGCGTAGAAGAGGTAGAACAAGAGAGCAGCAAAGTTCAAGCTGTGTATAAATGTAAACAAGACAAATGTAAATTCAAGTAAATTATGATTCATTCTACAAAACCAGCGAGAACTAACTTAGAGCTAACCTACAACGCCAGGTTGTAAAGAACACAAAAGTTGATCGAGAAATGTTTTGATGAGAAATATTATTTTAAAGTAACGAGAATGGTTCCAAATACTAAAAACGTTAAAGAAAAATCTCTCAATCTCTGTTCTCGGGACAAAGGATAATAAAGCAAAAGTTAAAAAGCACAGCTTTTTAAGATGCCATAATACTTTATTTAACCCATGCACATTTTGTTAATACGCTATTTAAGAATAATAAATTGTTTTTATTGAAGAAATATTTGTTTCATTACAACTCTAAATTAATTTTATTTCGTAGTGTTTATGGGCTGGACCGGGCGCCAACGCGTAATTGCCATCTTTAAATTTCATAAACTTATTTCTATTCTAATAATTTCAGAGATTCCTCAAAGGAGGCATTATTGGAACACGTGCGAGAGCATACCAAGTCCGAAGACGTCGATAAATCCCAAGTAAAGAAACCGGAAACCACTATAGATCCCGCTGACTTAGCGTACCGGTGTGGACATTGTAATCAACTATCTAATTGGAAACATGTCATTCAAGTAAGTAAAACATTTTTATAGCGACTTTATAAAATGAAACTCGAGGATTTTCGAGTGAGATAGAAGAACAAAACTTACTTATAATCTATATATTGCTATCATGTGTATTGCACATGTGAAATTATAAAGGTTTTCAAATATAAATCACTCAGCTAAAAGCAGGCCAAACATTGAAACTAGACGGAATCTAATTGAATCAGTTCGTGAAACTTTAGTGGAAGCTCTTGTTCTTTCTCTGTTCAAATATTGTGATATTGTTTATGGTCCGAGACTTTTAAAGAGAACTCAGCAATCTTATACGAGTTCAAAACGCGTGCGCACGATTCTGCTATGGCGTTCCTAGGCGTGGACATATTACTCCCTTTCTAAATAAGCATAATAAATTGAAGATGATAAACCAGTCTGTATTTTGCTCCTCCTTACCTCTGTATTTGGTAAAAAAAGTTACCGTGGTTTTCGTCAGACCGTAAACCGCGAGATAGCGCGCGCAACTGGATGTTTGTACAATAGCACTATAATTCGGGCGAGCAAAATTTGGAATAGTCTACCTCCTCCTCTAAGGTTAAAAGTACTTTTTTTAAAAGTACCGCGATATATTAATTAAATTCCAAATTAGCTCGACTAAGTACGTATGACCTTTACAACAAACAACAATTGTTACAACTTTTCCACAATATTTACATCTTTTGGTACTACTTGTTATCTGAAAGGGACAGACTGAAAATCAGCTCTTAGCAAGCCTTGCTGAGCACATGCTGAGTCTTGATGCCTTTTAGAACATCCAATTGTACATTTTTTTTTATTCTTTTAACTGTAAGGTTTCTTTTTTATAACTGTAAATTATGTACTTTGTGATAATAAACGGATTATTTATTTATTTAAAAAAGATAAAACCTAATGATGAAAACTACGGAATAAAGCTATATAATTCGCTTTATATAAATAATCGGATATAAATGTAATCGCTAATTTAAGTCGCGTTACGTGGTTTTTGTTTTCTGTCTAAGACGTAATATTAATTTAATCTTTTAATTTTTGCAGAGACATTGCCGTTTGAAACACGACGGAATCATTAACGTCATCACAACGCTGAAACAGAAACCAGATCCGAATAATACGTCGGCTAACGATGTGTCCAACGATATGTGCACAAAGTGCCCCTTTAAAACCAGCGACAAGAATATGCTCATGACTCATCTGCAGCACCACAAACCCTCATCGGAATCTATATTTAAATGCTACTTCTGTCCTTACTTCGTCAAGGACGAGCAAGAATTGATACAACATCTCGTGTTACACGGTGTTAACGATCCTGAAGAATACATCTCGAAAGCCTTGGGCAGTAAGTCGCCTCTGCCTGATCCGTTAAACTCTCATATAAACCTCAGCATATCGGCGGTAGCTAAGCGGCACAAATGTACCGAGTGCCCTTACGAAACGAACAGCAAATCGCAGTTCATGTACCACGAGCAATTCCACCGGCTCCCCACAGACACGCCGTACAAGTGCACAGAATGTAATTACAGCGTCTCCAAAAGACATTTGCTCCATCAACATCTGCGGGTACACGGAATCATAACTAAGAAAGAAGCGGATTTCGACTACGAATCGTTAGGTTATCAAAACGAAGAATCAAGCGAAAGCGACGAGATACCATACGTGTGGGTGTCGGCTAAGAATGAATTCCATAAAATGTACAAATGCCGATTTTGTTCGTATGTGAATGCTCGTAAATGTGAGATACCAAACCACGAGCAGATACATTTCACTGTATTTGAAAATGACGATATCACAATTTACAAGTGTTTGGAATGCAAGTTCTCTTGCGACAACAAACACAAGTTGGCCGATCATTCCAAAATGCACGTTGAAATATATGGAAGAATTTACTGTGCAGTCGAACTGGATATGCCGGATGAAGAGCAAATATCTAAGCTGCGCAAAGTGGTCGAAGCTGAGAAATACAATAGGACGGACGCCTTTAGAGTCGAAGGAGAAGTCAAGACATTGTACTTCTGCCAGAAGTGCCCGGCTAGATTTTTCTGTGATAATGATCTTAAAATTCATGATAAATTTCACGATACAACTTTCCCGCATAAATGTAAAACCTGTGAGTTTTCTGTGCTTCACGAGACTGATTTAATGGAGCATAACTGTGTACACACAGATGAGTATAATACTAAGACTAAAATGCTCAAGTTTATGCACTATGTCCATCCGACACATAAAGAACCTCGTCTACAATTTATTCATTGCCCAGTGTCGTCCGAAGGGACATGGGTCGTAGCGATAGCGGGTAGGAATTTCGAGATCCAAGAGCAAAGCTCTACTATCAAGAAATCCACCGAACAAAAAGCTCCCAAACAGTATCTATGCAAAGAATGTCCTGCGAAATTTTTCAAAAGCTCCGCTCTAAACTATCATGCGAGCCTACACGGAGGGGAGGGTGATCATAAATGCAGGAAATGTAGCTATACAGTAAAAAATGTCGGTAACCTCGCCAAACATGAACTTCTGCACGAAAACGAAGGTAAAATATCAAACGCCGACTATGAATCGGGTGACGATATGGACTATAAGAATATTCCCTTATCGGGGACAGATTTATTCCAGAGGAAAACTGAGGCTCAAAAGCGCGTGGTCACAGATAAAGATAAACTAGTGAAACCTAATGATCACTTCCCTCCCGTGTTGCAAGCCGATCCGCAATTTGGATACTTAATGCACGGTAATCCTGAATTCATCTATCCGACTTATTTGAAGAATGGAAGACAAAAGGAGAAACGATACAAGTGCCACAAATGTCCCTCTGCATTCGAAAAACGAGAACAATACAAAATACATCTCTCATTACACGGCTCGAAACAAAGGTACAAATGCGAAATCTGTGATTATTCTGTAAAATATTACGCTAACTATGTTCAGCATATGCGGAAACATCAAATGAACGATGAAGCTCAAGCAGAGAGGAAAAAGGGCGTCGATGGTGGCGTGGAGTACGAGGGTGAGAGCTCCCAAGAGACTAAACAGGATGACAAAGGAGAAAATATTAAATTAGCGATTAAAACAATGCCGAAAAGAGTTAAGAGTGATTTCCAACAATTTTCCATAAGCGATCAGCAAACTCTTCGTTTGTTGCAACAGAAGCGGTCCATAAATACCGAGCCTGTAGCTTCCACCAACACATCGCCTAAGAAAGATCGCAAAATGCATTTATGTTACTTTTGCCCTTATAGAAATCAGCGATTAGACGCTATAGAAAATCACGAGAAGAGGCACCGAGAATTTACCGAAAATAACAACGCATGTCCCTTCTGTGTGATATCCTTCACACAGTCACATTTTCTGCGTGAACATTTAAAAACACACTTTAACTCAATGAAAGCCATAACGCCAGAATGCTTTATTGCAAATGAAAACGTTAATTTTGCCATCACTAACGTTGAAGATGACGACGATAAGAAGCCGGTTGATATTAAACTTAATTTAAAACGAAATTACAGTTACACAGATGACAACAAAATTCTGATCAAAGTACACACTGGCGAAATCCTTGAAACGGAGTCATAAGTCTACTTAAATGAAGCTTTTAAAACATACTAGACGAGTATTATAGATAACTATAATTATTATTATGTTACATATATTTAAGATGATTTTAGATAATACGCCAAAGTATAGCTTGCCATGTTAGTAAGTATATTGTGCTACCTAATATTTTTATTTTAAGATATAATTTAAGGCCAGTAAATAAGAAATTAGAAACTATGGTCAACCCTAGTAGCATTTTACCTAAATATTGTTTTAGAACTCAGATACATTTTAACAAACTTGTAAAACTAATATTTAAAAAATAATTTGTACTTAATTTCTTCTAAATATTAATAGATGTAGTTGATATCTGCCACCACTGGTTTTCAAAGTAAAAATAACAACTATATAATATTTGCGTTTTCTACACATACATTCAATTATGGACAATAAAACATTCAAGTAAAAATGTACATTTAAGGTATATTGTAAAAATATAATGTAAGAAAAAAATTATTGTATGATGTAACCATTTTATTTTGTTAGTCCTAAAGGACACATTCCATTGGCAAATAAACTTGTGATTATAACTTTTTTTGATTTTTTTTCTTAAAAATACACATTATCTTTGCATCAAAACAAAATACAGTCTTTGCACTTTAGGACAGAACATTTACCAACACTATTTTATTATGAAAAGTATTAAAATAAACGTTATATTCACTTAAAGCATTTAATTTATTAAAACTAAGGATTCCTTATCCACTAAACATGATTTCATTGCAATCAAATATCAGAAGTAAGTTCATACAATAAGAACATGTTTGAAATTTGTATTTTAGTTAAAATGTGATACATATTGTATCATGAGAGTGGTTACATATATTTATTAAAATGGTCTTAACAGAATTTCCAGCGGTTCCCACATTCATTGCATAGGACAAATGTAGTCATAGGCTCATCGGAACTTCTTGTCTGGAGCTGGTTGTACGTACAATTCTTCTTTTTGCACTTTCCACATTTCAACATTTCTGTCTTGGTTCCTTGTACTGTAGCCAACTGAGCATCGTCAATGGCTTCTTTAATGAACTTCTCACGAAGTTTCTTCATTTCATCACTGGCCATTTCTTCAGGTGTCATCTTAGCAAGACGAGCAGCTGCAATTACACCGTTCAGGTAGTTTGTTCTTAATGTAGGGTTCTTGGGATCCTTTAGATTAGCAACTCTTGATCTCACCCTGTTTTTATACCTCATGTCCGTGTTTTTAAATTCAGCGTAAATGCATTCTTCGAGTTCCTCGGCAAGCTCTTCTGGTGATGCACATGAGTTAGAAGTGTTTCCATCAGTTTTAAGTGCCTGTGTAAGAAGTTCTCGGCATTTTAATCTGACTGCATCTGTTGTGTTTGACTGGGGCGGGAAAGATGCAGGTAACTTTTTGTCTTTTTCTTTATCATCTTTCTTATCCTTATCCTTACTTGAGTCTTTTTTTGATTTTGAGTTAGACGAACTCCCAGAATCTTTAGCCGGTGTGCCTGGTGTTGACAAAAACTTTTTCCAGTTTTTAATAAGTGTTTTGCATAAAGATATCACTTCTTCGTCCTTGCTAGATTTTCGTAAAGCGTTTACTGTCATTCCAATTCTTGTTTTAGTCAACACGTCCAAATTAATAGCCATTGTTTGCAAAGATTTTAGTAGCTCAAGTGCTTCCTCTTGGCCCTAAAACAAAATTGTCAATAAAAATAAAGATCTGATAGGTTCCATCCACAAAAAACAAATAAGAATCGACAATAGGAAGAGAGGATAATGAATTTATTACAAATAAGATACTATATATTAATTTAAACCGTTTATTCATATCGGCTAAGAAAATAGATAAAATTTGTCGGCAATCGGCATTTTAATACATAGCTCTATTAATGCGGCATCAGTGTTTTATACAGAACCTACCGTGCCGTCATCTGATGTCATTTTAGTTAACTTCTTTTGTATTTTCATCACATCTTCTTGGACACTCATTTTTGTATTTATCAAGCTGATTATAACTTCCCGCCTAATTCAGAAAACAAATTCCGAAAATATTGCAAAATCGTCCACCATACCAGTTGAGCATAAACTAAAGATCTTGACATTTTTACTTTGTTGGTTAATGCTTTATTGCCATATAAAAATAATTTACAGTAAAAAAAATTGAATGAAGAAAATATAATGTCAGGAAATATAAAAAAATGTTGCAGTCTTACTTAAATTGAAATATATCCTTATAATTTATTGTTATATAGAAAACTGTTTTTATTTTCAAGTGTTTTAAAGCGACATCTGTTGTGGAGCATAGAAATTATAAGCGCAAGGCTCAAACAGCGGTAAGTTTGAAATTTGTTAGAACTTGGTTTTAGGGTAGACATAGCATAATAGATTTAACCTGTTACTACGTTTTGCTCCTTTCTCTTAGTAAAATAATATCTTATACTTCTACTTTATTTTCTATTTAATATTTCTTAATGTAATTTTTTACTCACAACGGACCCGTATGCCTCAAACATTCTTTAAAAACTATACCTATGATTAAGTAAATGAAAGCAAATGAAATAGGTTACAGGAAAAAGTTTTTCCTCGTGCGCATTTTAATATGGAAATATTAATTCATACGATGCAATTTCGATGTGTATTATGTATTTTTCAGTAACTACAGATTGGAATAGACCAAGACCTGTCTATTAAGAACTATTTAGAAAATAGTTGTAGCTGATGTAAAATTGTCTCTTCTTTTTTTTAAATTTTTTTCAGAGAAAACGATTCATATTTTGAGATGATCTACTTTTATATAAAAAGGACCTAATACCATCATACATTAGTACCTAACCTGGACAACATCAAAAACCAAAAGAAAGACTGTCGTATAAAATAAAAATTACTTTGTTATTATCATACACTTAGTTTTCCATTTGTTAATGCATAGTAAATCCCCGGACAGGATGACTGTTTAAGTAGATAGGTAAAGTACCTTATATTATATGTTAGGTATTAAATTTATATCGCTTCAGCGTCTCCACTAATTTTCATGTAAATGCCAAAATAATTCAACGCAGCATAAATAGATGTAAACGTGCTGGGATATATCATATTGTATCATCTAGCATGTTTGTCATTCTGTATCGAAATTTTGGATTATTTTTTAACAGTTGATACGACATAACTTTGCGATTTTTCCATCTGGTATTCGGTCAATGACTCGGAGATACGAATAATATTAAATGTCCTAATTTTATACTCAGAATAATGATAGATTGAATACTAGAACCTGGTGGATATCTAACCCACATCCCGTTAAAAATAAGCCATTCATTACTTACATTGGATTGACGAGCCAAAATGTAAAAGAATCAAGAATATTGGAATAATATGTCCAATATTCTTGATTCACACATTTAACGTCTACGAAATTCTATTTAAAAAACGTGTAGGATTAAATTATGCCATAAAAGTGATATGAATATAAATTGATTCAGGGTGGATAAAATCGCTACTGAAGGTACAAATTCACTTATTTACGATTTCATACCTATACAGTGAGAATAAATGACAAATGCAAAATTATTTTCCCAGCATTACCTGTTATGACGGGGCAAACAAATAAGATGATACACTGTTATATGAATAAGTATCTACGTACACAGGAAAAAAATATATTTTTTTTAGTCAGGATAAACATAATGTGGTTTTGCCCTTCCAAGCCGATTAAATAGCGAATAGCGATATGAGCTTATAAAGTTGTGAGGTCGCAACAATTCTTACCATTCACGCACGAACGTTGGCGCGCGCGAAACAGTTCAAAGGTAAAAGTTGTATTTATTTCAACGAATTGTTAAACTCGTTTGTTTTAATGTTGGGTAAAATTAAATCTTAATTATACATCTCAATAAAAAACTTAAACGGTTTAAAACGTGATATAATATATTAGTTAAACTTATTTGAAAATTATTTTATCTACGGTCCGAGGTTTCGGATGCTTTGCACCAGCCGTAATAGTTTTCAAAAAGTTAACTAATATTCGCGTTTTAAACCGTTAAAGTGTTTTATTAAAATATGTACTCGCGTTTACTACAAACAGTACTTAATTATACATTCTTTTCATTCTAACGTTTTTTTTTATTATTTATAAATATTATTTGTTATTGCAATTATATAGTTTTCCTTTGCTTATTTATGAGTTTTAAGTATATGTACGAAATATGCATAATTTATTTAAACATATCTATTTTTTGACGAGTGAAGCAACCGTTCATTAATTTCATAATACGCAACCAGTATTTGTGAACACTGCAAGAACTTTAGAGTTGAAGAAGTAAGGACCGTGACCTCCTTTCGTGTCAATTTTCGAGGCTCGCTAGCTTTAAACTAATAACTATTATAATTGTAAATTTCCATAGAAATCTCCAAGATGCTTTTCGCCAAGGTATGTCTTGCCCTTGCGCTTTTGATGGGCGCTGAAGGGTATTCCGCAGGTGCCCCAGAAAGCGCCTGCAAGGATATGATCCCAAGACACCCTGTTGAGGCGCAAAAGCGCCCAGCTCCGTATACTATCACCACCAGTACTAAGGTAAGTTCCGCTAAATGATTTTACATTGACTCATAAATTTTTTTATGGCTAGCAAAATTAATTACAGATAATTGTTTTTGTGACGTTTGTTAATTTACTTTATGTGCGTTGTTTTTAACCGACTGCACAAAAGAGACAAATGGTTTCTATTTTACTTACATATTTGATTAATTACCTATTTTTCATTATTCTCTTACTTATAAAATATAAGTATAGAACATAGTTATATGAAATGTTTTTTCATTCTTTAACTACACCTAAAATCTTTTTACTACCACAGGTTGTCAAAGCAGGCACACCAATGCAAGTTACCATCTCAGGCAAGACTGCATCTGATACCATCCGTGGTATAATGCTGCAGGCCAGATCAGGCGAAGATAAACCAGTCGGCGTCTTCACTGTTTCCCCCAGCGACCCCCTTGCTAGACTCATGAAGTGCGACAACAAAGGGGTGAGTTTATAAATAATAGCTTTGAAAATAAAGCAAATATAAATTCTTTTTAGGCAAATGGAAATTTCAAAATAAGAAAAATAAACAGTCATGTTTACATTTAAAAATAGTATTTTTGATAAACGTTTGTTTTTATTCGCTTTTGACAGATGCCACAGATATAAGTAATTTATACAACTATCTATTTTAGCTAATTAAATTCTAAATTCAGCTGATTTATTATATTGGCTGGTAACAAATAGACTAATAACTAAGGAAGTAACAATTTCATAAGTGGACATTTACATTCCTTATAACGTCGAGCGAATAAGTTTGTATTGAACTTGGTTCAGGAAACTTACAAGAGCAAGGTCAAGAACACGAGGCTTTTGTCTACGATTGTAGCAACTTCCGCGAAAATAATTGCTAGAATTGTGATACATGCAGCATGAGATTACAATTATGTAAAATAATACAGAGACAATAGTATAATTATGTAATACTAAGTTATCTTAAGAGACAAAGATGTGTTATAACTTGAAACAAAAACACGCAAAATACACACGTTAAAGTAATTAACTGCACTGTTGTGTTGCATTGACCCATATTCCTGCCACTGTATATAAACTACATACATTTAATTATAATTATTAGCTATCGTTCCTAAGATTATTGAAATTATTACGCCTTATGCTAAGACAGTCTTGGAGATCATCAATCATTCTGGTCCAGTATCACAAAATTGCGTAGGCTTACACGTACCTGGCTATAAAACCTCATACTTATGTTTTTTGAATGAAACTACACCTTCTGTATTATTATTACAAGGTTTGCAAGGCATAAAATTAATGTCTATACTGCAAATAACATATAATTGTCTTTGCTGCTATTGACTAAATCTTGGAATTGGTAATTTTCAATGACCTTTCGCCGGTTGTAACATGCAAAATTATTAACCGATATATTGGAAGCTTTGTAATATCTTAAATACGTATTTATAAAACAGCAATTATTTCTAAGTAATTTTATTTAATATACTCAGCCTTAATGGTGATTTGCTTTCAAGGATACCATCACACACAAGAAACACGACGCAAAAGATGACAAACAGACTGTCACCTTCACTTGGACTCCGCCAGCTGATTTCAACGACGTTGTTAAATTCAGGTAATTTTTTAATGACTTTAAAATTTCCTTTAAAGAGATTCTCTTATGCTTAAATGTACTTTTATACAAGCTACATAACTAAATCATTTCCTTTTAATTCCAGGGCAACTATTGCTTTGAATGGCGCAGTATTTTGGGTCGGTGTTGAATCCGCCCCCGTCAAAGTTACCGCCTAAGCCAATCGCTCATATGATTGGACACCTCAGAGATCTGTATTATTAAAATATTTATCGATTAAGAATATTTAATGGATTAAATAAATTAGAAATAAAAATCGTTTTCAATAAGAACACATCTGTATTTAACGAACTCTTTATTCTACCATAGCACCTAGATCTTTTCTTTGTCTTGAGATTCGTTCCAGTTCGAGTTTCTTGTATTAGTTTATCACTTATAGGCAAGATTTCCATTATTTGAGTTCAGTCAAAGAATACAGAATAAACTACAAGGAATGTTGATTCACAAATTTGTAAATAGTTAATACTTAATACAAAATTTGCGCGCAAAACTTTAATATCAGACGCGTTGGCGCTTTGTGGTTTATTCTGTATTCTATGGATTTGAGCAACCTTCAACAATTGGTACGAGCTACAAACGAACCTTCGACACATACAATTCTTATCCAACACATTATGGCTAAGAAAACTGACGGATTTCAACTCATTATATTAATTGGAGGACTTCATTGGCAGTAAGTATATAATAACTTGGAGCTTAGGTTTTTATCACCTTCGACTTCGAGGTAATAACCATAAGTTTTTTTCAAATCCTTTGGACACCTGCCATCATTTCGCAAAATTCCAACCAGCATTTACATCTAAAACTACAGCTACAAGCTTCTACATAGTACAAATGTCTACAAAAATCCTTTATCAAAACCTGTATGGAAGAATGTGTACACATATAGTAAATGTTAAAACTACCCTTAACATTACATATATTAGAAGATTGTATAGAACAATTACAATTAATAAACTGACATCTTTTTCTTATTGTATCCCTAGCATAAGTTTTATTGTTTCTCTATGGTTTCATAATAATATTTTTAAAAATGAATGGAAAGATGTCATTGACTATTTTAACAGACCAGCCCTTTGTTTCTCTCTTTTTTGGGTTCGGGTTCATGGATGTATTGATAATAACAGTTCGGCAGGATAAAGAAGTCCAATCAAACTTATACTAGGGGTACAGTTATGTGCAAACCCAAAATCCAGTTGTAGTTTTAGTATGTCTTTACTTATACAATATCTACGGAAGAGATTTGTCCCTATAGTAGAGATAAGCATACACTCAATACATTAAAAAATGTGCAAGTAATTATTAAAAGCCTTGGCATATATTTAAGTAGTGAATAATATTCTATGCATACTTAATTATTGTAAAAAGATAAAAATGTATGTAATTGACTATGTATTAACTTCAAATAATGTAGACTTGAGAAAAAAATAATTAAAATTAATATATCCCGACAATAAGTAAGAACTATTAAAAGTGGCAGGTTATGCTTTAGTCTTTTCAGAGCTTATTCTATTTGTGAGACGGTATGTTACAACCAGGAAAGTGTGAGAGATGTGTCCCTGCTAATTATATATATTCTTAACGTAAAAGCTTAATTAATAAAATTGTTAATATCAAATTGCATCAAAGGATGGAATGACCCATGTTATCACAAATTAAATTTGCAAAAAACAAAGCTATAATATAAAAATCCACTAACACAGCCTTTACTTAGACCATAAAACCACATTCCTGCACCATGCTTAAAATAAAAATATATACATTTACAATGATCACATACTAATATAAATAATTTTTAAAATGATACATCATTTGGTCTAACTTAAATGCATGGTAGTTCTCGCCCTTAAATCTAAATTTAATCACAGGTAATACTGAAAATAATAAATAGTAAATACATACAAAAGAGATTAAGTATAAAGGTATCATTGGTTCTGTATGAAGAAACTTTGCCTCTTCAGTTGTCTGTAGAGGGATATGTACTTCCCAGCAGCAGATGTGCGTGGCACAACATATTGTTTGCAAAATAGCTTTGGATCTTGGGCCTTTTCCGAAAGCTCCCCACAGTCCAATGCTCTCAGAAATGCCAACACAAATGTAAAACAATTATGGTGTTCCTCATCATACCTCTCTGCCTCCCATAGAGGACTGGAACTCACCTTAAAGAAAAATATAGTGTCTAAGATAAATTCCATCAAAGCTATTTGGGTTTTAAGCTATTTAGTTAGTAATGAAAAGAGTTTTCAACATTTGGCTTTTCTTATGACGTTATCCACTTGTGATGGAGTGGAGACAAAAAACATAAAAAAAACATTTTTAATTAAGATGGCCAATAATTATCAGAAAAAGTGAAGAAAAGTTAATTTCTTATAGGCAGGGTGTTTATGCTAGCAGAACTTGTTACAAATCTATGAACTCACAATCTTACCCTTGAGTGTAGTGCAACATAAAATAAAACTAAATGAGCTAGTTTAACCCATAGCATTACCTTTATAAGTATTCCATCCCAAATTTCATTCCATAATTCGTCAAATTGTTCTAACATGAGGCATTGGTCCCAATCTGAACTTGTATCACATTGACTCCACTTTTTGGTAATGGGATCAACACCCTGGATACCCTCAACACTGAATTCAATAACACAGCCTTGAGAGTTCGTAACTCCGATATGTAAATCCTTAGAATTATAATAGTCACTGAAACAAAGCCAACAAGTGCATAAGGGATGTGAGTCATTTTCTTTGTAGCATATCAATTCTTTGTAACGTACAATTGTAACTACTTAAGGATAACTTACTTGAGGAAGTCCCCGTGTGTTGGTTTCATGACTATTGCACGAGGGTGCTGCAAAGCCTTAACGAATGGATATGGAACTCTGAAAAATAGACAATATAGCAACATAACTAGATAACGGTAGATTTCATAGATAATTAGATGCACTCATTATACATACCTGAACGGCAAGAGATTGTAGTCGTATCTATCGAGTTTTTGATTACAAACAGGACACTTCTCAGGTATAATAGTACAAAACACTTTGTGGTCGCAATGGTGAAAACAAAGGATTCCCGGATCCATTTTTATAAACCGCTCGAAATATAAATTAATCACTGAAACTATAACTAAAAGTTAGTTTAACGAAATGACACGATATTCGAGGGTGCGGCAAAGTGATGTATAATTACAAAATAACAGCAATTACTGGCTGATTAAGCAAAAATCTAATGGGAACGAAAGAAAGCTGCCCAACTATTGTTCATTGTTCAACCACTCAAATATACTCAAGTGACAAACGTCAAAAATATTCAATTATTGAACAGCTGTTGACATTTTGACAGATGAGTTTGACATTTTCATTACTATCGTATTGTTATAAACGTAATGTGGAACTTATTACAGGGTTCATTGGCAGAATCCATTTATCATGGGAAAGCCTTTTAACTAAGAAGAAGAAGTAGAAATTGAGTATAAGTACGGACAACTAAAATTAAATAGTTCTATGTTTTTTGATCTTCGCCCGCCACTACGGTTACTAGTGTGCTGTGTGTGAGTAGGGGAAGACGGAGTACAGAATTCCTATAGTATGGTTCCCCTAAAACCAGCTTCAAATACCTCCAAATTTACATAGTTATAACTTTCTGATAAGAATGAAGAAAGGCGATTTTTATTTCTAAAATATTGAATCGCTTTCTATTATTGCCTAACTTCTTTGTTTATTTATTATTCTCTGAATAAATAAGATAGCATGTTATAGTCAAATAGATGTTAAACAAAAAACAATTAAAATTAAAACGTATTTCTTTGAAGTCTTGTTTTTTCTGCTGAGAAGGCATCTCTTCCGCCAGCACCAAGAAGCGAAGCCATCTAGTATCTTATTTTTGGCAAAACCTAAGGGCATCGTGGGAGAGATCCTTTATAAGGTCCACGAGTACATTTCCTTAATAAAATGTAGGCTATATATTCCGTCTCTTGGTATGCTATACAATCTGTATTGGTATTCCGCCATTCGGTAAATAGCATGAACAGACTGGAGACGTACAAAACATCTTCAAACTCGTAGCATTTTGTCCAGCGTGGACTTATAATAAGTATTATTTTATTTATAGTATATGATATTAAAAGACTATTATATATATGTAAAAAAAATATATTTCCCCGCTGCGAAGTTCTTATATGCACGAATTGTAAATTGTTATGTCTTGATACAATGTTATATTTAATGTCTGCCACCATTAAATTTAATGACCTACAAAGTCTAAAATCCCTTGGAAATTTCGTCAATAGTTCATCCTGAATTGGAACAATTATGTTGACCGTTACCATGGCAACTAAGACCACGCCTGTAAACCCTAGTTACGTGTTCAAACTCGTTCCAATAAAGAGATATGAAACTCATTTTTCCGTTTTATATATGAAACAATTATTCAAATAAAATTGTTTGTTATATACGCTGAAATTATCGCCTGATAGTGTTATTCGAATTGTTAAAAATGTACACATATCGCCTTAATTATTTACTAAATTGATATCGATAATTCAACTGTTGTTAATCTTATACAAATAAAAATGTTAAACGTTGGGAATAGACTACGAAACTGTTGGTGGTTGTTAGTTATCCCAGTCGTGACTGCTGGAATAGCTTGCTTAAGTAACCCGTGTCTTCATGGAATTTGCATAGACGATGTTAATAGGTGAGCATTAATAAGATATATGGATTAAGAAACCAAAAGAAAATTGTATAAATTATGTATTGATATGGATATGTAAATTTCTTACATTTTTTCATTTGCATGGTGAAATTGACATTTCTTCATTAGTTGGTATTTATAATTACAATCATTTTTTTGTGCCTCTTTATAATATAATAATATTTTTTATTGAATGAATTAATGAATTTTTTATGATATTAAAACTTTAATATTAAATTTAAAACCGACACGGTAACTCAATTGCTTAGAACAAGTCCCCCCCACCTGTGTCGTAATTTTATTTCAATCTAAATATATTTTTAATTTATATAATGAATATTTAATCGTTACTGTGATATTTTCGTTTCTTTGTAACGCATAAATAATATAAATATTCGTTTTATCGTCTTGCGTACATAATTTCTTATTTCAGCACGTACTCCTGCTACTGCACAGATGGATTCACGGGTATACAATGCCAAACAAATTGGGACGAGTGTTGGTCGAATCCTTGTCAAAACGGTGGCACTTGTATTGATGGAGTAGCGATGTATAACTGCTCGTGTCCCGAAGGGTTTATAGGTAAACGTTTAAGCTTAATGATTACCAGATACGTGATATATGTGAACATTTTTGGGAAAATTATTCATTATACATTATGGGTTACCGAGGTGTACGCTGCAAAAACGGTTCAAGGCACCCTAATAATGTGTATTAAAGAATGATTCCTCTTTAAATGATCTAAAATGAAGTCCGGAACGTTATATGTCTATCTTTTAAGACAAACTTGCAAGAACGACGGGAAGGCACGCAGCCGACGTCGTGGGTAACAGTTTAAGTGCCCAAAATAAATACTGTTAGATAAACTTATTTGAAAATTATGACGTGACCACGGTTGCTGCAAAGCATCGGGAAAGTCGGGCTATAGTTAATATATCGCGTTTTAACCGTTAAAATGTTTTATTTAAATGAGTACTGCTCTCGTAAACTACAGACAGTATTTAATAAATGACACGGCGCGAGAGGTGCATGAATCAATAAGTTGAAAAAATTCTACATTGACGTGTAGGACTCAGTCGCTCTATTGGTTAGAGCAACAGTACGGAACGCTGTCGATGCCGGTTCAAGTTCTGCTCGAGTCGTAATTTTTTTCAATTTATAATCTTACTTTTTATTAATTTGACTCCCAACATCTTCCGTCATTGTATAATACAACTACTTTTAAAAATTTATTAATCAATACATCAAGTATAATTTCTTTGGATTATTTTTAGTGTACGAGTTCTTAAGATCCAAACATTACTCTACCTAAATTAAAATTCCTACCAGGCTTATGTCCCAAATTCCCAAAATGGGACCTTAAAAATACAACTATTTTACAGGAGATGACTGCGAGACTAACTACAACGAATGCGAATCGAACCCGTGTCTTAATAACGGCACGTGCATCGATATGACAAATGATTATGTCTGTCATTGCATACCTGGGTTTTCCGGGGATCATTGCGAGTACGATGTCGCGGTGTGCAATTCTACAGAGGAGATACGCTGCCACAACGGCGGGGAATGTATCGAAGGACCTGGTTTTAAATTTTACTGCAAATGTATGCCAGGTAACTGAAAAAAAAATTAATGTAAAATTTAATATTATATTTTTTCTAGATTTTTTGCAAAACTTATGGGTATAAAAAACCGAATGATAATATAAGCGTTTTCGAAGATATACAATAGAATCTATTTACTACCCTAAGCCACACAAACAATTTTAAATTTAAATTAAAAACAAAGTAAGATTAGATAGAATATTAAAGAAAAAGATATAAGAAGAATTGTTTTTGGGTACAGATCGCAAGCTAACTAATATAATAAATGCTTTGTTTTTAATATTGCTAGGTTGGACAGGTCCAAAATGTGAAGAGCAAATAGATGAATGTGAATCGAATCCATGCCAAAACGGTGGCATATGCATTGATGCTCATGCGGATTATATGTGCGCCTGCGCTTATGGTACGTTTAAAACAGTAGATTTGTAAAAAAATACGTTATGTTGACGATTTTTTTGCCGAAACTCAATTAAAACGGACTACTCAATTGGGACGGGCTTATTGGTCCATTGGTAGCAATTTATAGCTAATAATCTTCGTGTGTTCGATCCCCACCGGGTCCAACATATTTATATTTTTTCTGAAAAGTTCTTTGTCTGGAAATCTGAATATTAAAGGCGGTAGGAATATTCCGCCCCGGTCATGAACCACCGCCCACAGATGTAAAAGCCGTGAAGTTTAATCGGATTTCGGTTGCAGTCTGTCGAGTTTTCGAATATTTAGATATTATTAGCCAAAATAGATCGACAGCACATCTTGCTGGGATATTTCACCTCCCATCGAGAGAACCGCATGCTTGTCTATATTTAAAAAGTATACAAAACAAAAAACCTACAAAAGTTCAAGAAATGTATTTCAGGATACACGGGGAAGAGTTGTGAAGTGAAAATAGAGTTTTGTGATGAAAACGCCTGCAGTAACGGCGCGTTGTGCGTAGTGGAAGATGGCGAGAGAATATGCTACTGTGTCCCGGATTATCACGGTGACAGATGCGAACTTCAGTACGACGAATGCTTACTTGGTCCTCGGTGAGAACAATTCTAGGATATAGAGAATTAGGTTTAATAAAAGATTGGAAGCAAATAAACAGAACTAAGTACTTATGAGTAATACGATTCAGGAATATTTTTTTATTTATAGTTTTTAAATAAATAAAATATCTTTCTCAACAGATGTATGAACGGCGGTACCTGTATAGATGGCGTAGACAACTTTACATGTTCTTGTCCACCTAGACTTACTGGGAGTTTGTGCGAATGTTTTATTCTTGATGACGGCAGCCACGACTGTAAATACGTTCGCCCGACACCACTACCAATGTCTACTAACCTCGTCCTTACGTCGGTCTTCACAGATATTACTACTAAATCATTTACCACACCTTTATATAATAATACATCTACTGTGTTCACTTTTATACCGAACGATTCGACAACTCTTCGTGTAACTGACTCGATAGATACTACACTTGATTTGATCTCAACTACAGTTAAGAGTAATGAAACTGAAATGTCATCTACGAGTTTACCATCAACTTTGTACCAAGAAATGACTAGTCTATCAATAGATGTCTCAACTGAAATAGCAATGACAACAACTCAGGGTGAAGCTAACAATACAGATACAAGTCTGCTTAATGGAACAGTAGCAACTACAGTGAATATTGATACCACTATATCTACAGCTAAAGAACTAATTGAAGAAACAACACCTTTAGAAAAATCGACTACGGCATTAACTACGGAATTGGTGAAGGAATGGACTACAACACACAGACCATTTGAAGAAACCACACGCACTTTTGACGATACAACAATAAAACTTGATACGACTACAGAGAAAATGTTTACAAATTCTCCTGATAAGGAGAGTAGTACTGAGATAACAACAGAATTATTGGAAGTAACAAGTGCCACTGATAGCACTTCGCAATTTTACCCCACAGAACATATTCAATGTACTCCTTCTGTTTGTAATAATAGAGGCACTTGTTTTAATGGCCCCAACGGTATCAGAGTGAGTAGGAAAAATAATAGACAGAATTCCTAGTACTTATTTAGAGCTTAGCAATGTTTGAACAATCTAGATAATTTATTTTTCAGTGTCACTGTACATTCAGTTATAATGGAAGATTTTGTGAGGAGAAAATTGCAATCACATCTGCTGCCTTTGGAGGAAATTCGTTTATAGTTCACCACATAGGAAACTCTACTTCTCTTAACATAGAGTTTGATGCAAAAACCCTTATAACGGACGGTGAAATTATGCACGTAGATATCGCACAAGGGGTATACTTAGAACTCTATATGATGGCCGGATTACTGAAGTTTAAATTTTCATGCGGGTATCAGACCATGCTTTTGAGCGAGTTAAAAACTTACGTCAACAGGGGTTATGCAATGAAAATTGAAATAAGGTATTTATTAATACTGCGTTAATGGGACTGAGTAACTCAAATATTCAAATATTATATCAATCTCTTCCAGGCTAGATTTATTCTTGAATGAACAACATTGCAATGCAACACTTCGCTTAAACGACACAGTAGCGATGAGTGGCGGCCAAATAGCAAACATAACCACTCTTAATCCTAATAGTACATTGCTTTTCGGTAACGCTTACAAAAATCGGACTGAGTATACACCATTCATTGGGTGTATAAGCGGTTTAATTGTGAGTAATCTGTTTTTAATGAGAAGTAATATTAAAAATAGATACCCTAGCACAACTTTTATTCATTCATAACTCCATACAAAAGGTGAACGGTGAGAGGCGAGCATTGTTCGGGGATGCTTATGACGCGGGCGACATAACAGAATGCTCATCATTGGCCTGTCTGTCTGGACCATGTCTCAATGGAGGGACTTGTAACGATCGCGGAGAAACGTACCATTGTTCTTGCGCTAATGGGTAATTTAATATCTTCGTCTCTAATTACCTCTTTCAAATAAAAACCGTATATAACACACATCATGTCTAGAGATTTTATTCATTGTGCTACGTCATTTTTTTAAATTAAAAGTCCTTTGAAATCTTAGGCATATAGTGAAGATAATGTATATTTACATACATTTCAGATGGCTTGGTGAACTTTGCAATACGTCTGTGTGTGACAACAATCCTTGTCAATCCGGAGGTAGTTGCGTAAAACATCCTGGTAGTGGTTTTCTATGTCTTTGTCCTTATGGAAAACATGGGATCTTCTGCGAATATAGTAAGTCTCTAGCTTTTATTGTTGTTAAATTTCATTTCAGACCGGCATCTAGGTTTTTGAAGGTCATTGACACCTCGTCATTAATAATTATCGTCGGACTTAGACTCAAATTTTGGCTAAGACTTGGCCTGCTCATACGAAAAACCTCTAAAATATTGGAATTTCTTATTTGTTTATCATGAATTATTTCAGATGTAGATATAACACGCGCATCCCTCGCTCCGATCACAAGCGGAAAATCATCATACGTGATCTATCCATTATCACCCATGGCGATGAATTCTGATCGCTTTGATCTACGTCTTCGTTTTCAAACCGATGATTTAGATCAAATAGCTTTATTGGCATTTGTGGGACAGAATGGGCGACACGATTCTAAAAGTCAGCACATGGCCTTGACTTTTGTTAAAGGCTACGTCATGCTGACATGGAATATGGGAAGTGGTGAGTTAATTATTGGTCCTTTTGATCCGGACACTCGTAGAGTTATTATTATTTTCTAACATTAATGAGTGAACAAATACAGGTGCCCGTCGTATCTTCACTTCACGAGCACTATCCACGAGAAGAGGAGGTCACATGGTCAGAGTATGGAGACGTGGTCGCACTGCTGGGCTTAGCGTGGACGGAAGACACAATGTGTCTGGCAATGCACCAGCCAATGACGTCAAGATGAATATACTCCCTTATGTGTATATTGGCAAGTATATTATTCAACAAAGTAATTAATTAATTTTCTATAGTACATTAAATTTTTTAAAATAAAACTTCCCTTTTTCTCAGGATATTTTTTTTCTTTATATGTATATAATGAAAGTGTTATTATAGGTGGGCATCCTTCTGAAGATTTTCGTGACCTCCCTCACGACCTCCCACTACACAATGGTTGGAAGGGATGTGTCTGGGAGGTGGGAGGTCAGGCGATAGGAACAGGCAAGCCAGTTGGGGGTTATGGAGTGGGACAGTGTGGGGTTGCCCAATGCACGGCAAAGTCTTGTAATTCACCTAGAGGCGTCTGTATACATTCACCAGCAACTTATGGGTATAGAATTTAAACTTCTACCACTGTAGGTGTCATAATTATAAGCAATCTATACTAATATTACAAAGAGGAAAGATTTGTGTTTTTGTAATATGTGTATTTGTATGTAACGGATAAACTTAAAAAGTACTGGACTGATTTTAAGCTACATTATCACTGAGTAACATAGGCTATATTTAGTACTTGATTACTATAGGCATCTATAGAAATTCTTACTAAAACCAACGGAACGTGTAAAAAAAATTAGCCGCAAAATGTCTTTCTTCGCATACGCTGCGAAAAGTATTAATGATAGGACAAAAAAATGTTCGACAATATTATAGAATATATCAATATCTACAAAAAACATCGCGATAGCATATGTCTAACTATTGTAGTTACATCGCTATAACTACATTTTTACATTTAACATAATAGAAATGCCGATCAAAATCAGACCGTGTTGAAATTAAAATTAAAATTCACGCCACGCCGCGCATCGAGTAACTAATTCGACGATAGAGGGGCAGTGGGCTCCTTATGCAGTGGGCGCGAACAACATTTTTATGCTTCACTTAAAAAGTTCTTTTCAAAGCTACTTAGTTTTAGTATTAGGAATCACACTTTGCATAATGTTTGTCGAAGTTCTTTTCAGAACTAACGCTTTGAACTTGAATATTTTCTTTTGTATTATTATTAGTTTATTCTTAATTTCTCCGATTTAAAATAAATATCCTTCATAGCTATATGCCTAGAAGAATAAAGTCGCAGCTATTTAAGAATAGTTTCCAAGATTAGCAAAACTTCGTCGTAGTGGAGAGTCTTCTTCCTAAAATGATCGTCTGAAAAGTATTAGAGTGTACGCATCCCAATCGCGAGCCAGAGATTCTATCGTCGAACGTTCAGGTTCGTCTTGCAGAACAAAATGCATGATCGTCGCGAACACGTGCACGCGACACTAACACTGAATGCTCGCACGCTCCTGAACCAGCGAGATAGACTACGGTCGTTATAGAGAGGACGCGCATACGTTTTTTTCAAATTTAGTGATTCATGGTCGATTTAATTAGCATGCTTATAATTTAAATATGTGTACTTATCTATGTCTTCCTGTGCGAAGCCGGGACAGGACCGCTAGTGAAATATATATCGTTAAATATCCCGTATGAATTGATTTAGCCATCTTTTATATTTTTTTATTTAATATAATGCAATATATATATATGCTGTAAGGAGATATCTTATATTATGAAGTTCTTAACAGATGTATTTGCAACGAAGACTGGTTTGGCGCCACCTGTGCAAGTAGGCACAGTCCATGTGATTTCCCTGGTAGTAAGTGTCACGGCCGCTGCGTTATCACCACGGGAAATGCGAGCTGTGACTGTCCTTATGGAAAAAGTGGCCCAAATTGTGATAAAGGTGCGTTTACAGAAACATTTCGTCATACGTTACATTCCGAAATTTCGGTGGTGTTGTAGAAGTATGTTTTAGAACATTTTAAAATTTTAATCATACTACATCAATTAGTAATTATTTATTATGTGGAGATTAATTTGGTTGTTCCAGACCTTTACCCGATCGACATTTTCTTCACGGGTCAACGATCATACATCAAATTTCACCCTCGTTCGATATCCAGCGTGAGTTTATCGCTTGAAACGGAATTGAAGCCCGCAAAAGAACGTGGACTGATCATATATGTAGCCACGCCTCATTTTTATACTTCATTATCCCTGCAAGGTGGATTATTGGAATATCGGTGGACGGGTAGCTATTAATTTAAATATACATTTTATATGAATTATACGCAAAAATTTTATCTCGACTATAAGCTCCTTTGAGCGCAATGAATACAAGTTTTATACTATACTAGTTGTTTTGCTGGTTTGCGATATTTACATTATTATAGTGATTTAACTCAAACAAACAATTCGTAATAATAAATAAAACACTTGTTTGAATTATTTGTGGTCACGGCTTCTGCGAAGCATCCGAATACGTTGGGCCGTAGTAAAAAATAATTTTCTAACAAGTTTAACTAAAATATATCGCTTTTTTAACCGTTAAAGTGCTTTATTTAAATCTTTACTACTCTCGTAAACTACAGACAGTATTTGGTAATAATAATTAATTTCTACCAAATTTGATTACAATAAAAACTGTTTTGGCGTGTTAATATTAAAAGACATACTGTCGAGGACATTTTCTTAGATCATTAAAAGAGTGCTCATTCTTTCATATATATTTTTGGATTCTTAAACCGTAGCTCACAAGATTAATTTTCCCTATTTTTCTTAATTTTGCGAGATATACAAAAACATATAGCCTAAAGCCTCATATATATATATATGTATATATTTTAATTCAGTATTACAGTATTCTTTGCACAAATGGTCTATCCAAAACAAGAAGTTTTCAATTGGAACGTAAAAAGCAACCTTTTTTACATTTTCAAATATTACTTATTTTTTAATTTAAAATGTAAAATCTCTTTATTACTGCTGTTTTTTAAAATAAAACTTTTATTTTATATCAGATCGTCTGTCGGGCCTAACATCTATAGTACGGTCTGGAGTGGTGCTGTCAATGTCTCAGTGGCACGCAGTGAAGGCAGGCAGATACGGAACCCGGCTCTACATATGGGTGGACGGGGCTCTAACCACTGAGCCTATGTTGGCTCATGCCTATCCTCATACAGCTAGTGAAGCGTCTATAGTGCTTGGTAAGTAAGAATAGTGCGATGTTTTCTTAAGGCGTGGGACAACAGGGAAAAGCAGAATCATCAATACTATTTACATGATGGCATTATATAAATTAAAAACCTATAAAGATAAAAAAAATACGACACGGAGGGGACTTGCCCAAAAGATGCAATTATCAATGACACGGTAGTTACATTGGTTAGCAGCACCACGGAGCGCTGTCCGGTTCAAATCCCGCCCGTGTCTGTTTTTTTTTGTAAATTGTATTTCAATTTAAATGATGCTAGGGCAAATAATTCCAGGTATTTTTAAAAAGCCAACTTTGGAACTTATTGGAACCATTTGTTTTGTTAAAGTAACGCTGAAGGGGGTTTCTGAAATAACTTGAAACTTTTTGCAGAAAAAAATTCCAAATAAGTTACAAGTTATTTATCGGCCTAGCTGACAGTGCTTAAAACATTTCGGAAAGCAAAATAAAAGTATTTGTTTAATATATGTTTCACGTAAATATTTACACTAGGTGTTACATATTGTATGTAGTTTACGCGAGTAGTACATATGTACCTAAAATATTTTTAATGGTTTAAAACGCTTTAAAACTACTGTATTTCGAGTTTTGAACAGTTAAACAGTGTTTTAGCTAAATAAGTCTTACGTGTTTTATACTATTTGCAAAATTTTTAGGAGGAGCAGAAGATCTTTCAACCCTTCCATTTGATGTTATGTTGGGACCACCTCAGTCTTATGTGGGCTGCTTAAAGAACCTCCACGTGAATAACATCCCATTAACATTGGAACAACACAATATTGCAGGTGGGGCATGTGGGAGACAAATTTATGTTTCGCTTACAACTTACTTCTTAGGTTCGATCCATACCTGGTTCAATTTATTTCTAATTAATTTGTAATCTTACTGAAACAAGTTGGATGACTGGAAATATAAATAACTAATGGATCATAGGAACAGCAAATAACCGTCCGGGCTACAGGGTCCACCGGCGAAAGAGCCGTAAAGTTAACAACAGACCACTATCCTCCTGTCTAATAAAAATAACCTTTCAGTGATAGTTTTTAATTATAAACAATTAGGTGATCAGACCACTGTGCTATTATAGTTTAGAAGGGCTTCGGAACTATCTCTTATCGATGCAATACGCCTAACTTTAATGACATGGCATATACTAATATTCAGGTAAATTGATAAGTATGTAAATTATGAGCATAAAGTTAATCGGGTTTGAATGGATAAAATATTCTTTACTTATAACCTACTTATTGGCACTTGATCTTGGCCAATACGGGTATTAAATATTTTATCCATCCAAGTGGGGGCGTATAAATTAAGATTACACTATTTTAATTTGCTTATGTATTTATTTATAAGATATCGCTTTAAGGAAGTAACTATTATTATTTATTTACTAGCTTTGATCCGCGCTTACATGCGTCAAATGTTTGCTTTCGGCATGGGAGACATATCATTCTTGTGAAAACAAATAATAACAATTTTCAAATCACTAAGCCCTGTGTGTATAAATGACTATGACACTATTTAGTTCGTCAAGATCAGGAATACCGTAGGACGACTTTAAAATGTTGTCTGATACTCTTTTGAGCCTTATTCAGTTTGTGATAACCTTAAACATTTAAACGTACTGACAAACTTTTTATTTTGCTTTATTTGAGTGTATAAAATAATATAGAATATATCATTTATTATGTAAGACGGAAAATATAAATTACCTACTCATAAACCTGACCGCCTCTGTAGCTAAATGGTTAAACGTGTTGCCTAGCATTGCGTTAAGCGTGAGAGACCCTGGGTTCGAATCTCGGAGAAACAGTAAATGTTTCGTTTGAACAATTTACTGTTTCAAACGGGACGTTTCAAACGGTACAGGGCACAGAAGTCTGGTCAACTACTTGCCTGTAAATAAAACCGATCAGTGAAACAGACACAGAAATGTGTTCGCCCTATACCCCACAAGAGGCAAACAGGATGACACACTCATACACTTATAAGTAAAAAATAATTATATATTGTAAGATGTTGCAATTCAATGAAGAAGCTTCGGGTTCAAACTGGTTACGATTTTTTTGTATAAGTACCTACTAAACTATTAGACAAATAAAACCTACAGTTTATTATTTATTGCTTTTGGAAAAGGCGGTTAATTGTTAATAGTAAGTATTACTGCAAGTGAAAACAATGCGGACTTTCTATTTGGGGATTTTATCTTGAATTGTACATTTTTCTGAAACTCTTTCGTTCGTCGATTTCGTTTTATGGAAATGCTATTTACACGTTTTCATATGATCATCAGCGGGCCAGAATGTGGAGGCCTGTGATGGATCAGCCTGCTCCAACGGCAGGTGTAGGCGAGCTGCTTGCAACCCTGCCCATTGCCCATCATCAGCTCGTTGCAGAAATAATCGTTGTGTCTGTCCCGCGGGTCTAGTTGGAGAATACTGTCAAAAGAGTAAGTATTATGCAACATAAAAGCTTGGGTTTATGATGTTTTACACTGTATTTACACTCAAGTTTAAAATGCCCTCTCATACAAGTTAGCTAGATACAAGTTAGCTACATACTTTGGTTATTAAAATCCCCTCATGTTTATAATTTTCTTCTGTTACCCACGGCACGCATCGTTCTTGCGACTTAATCTTAAAAGAAAGACATATAAGTCGCGGATATTTTGTAGATAAATCATCAAAAAAATATCCGATAAAGTTATCATTCTTTCATACATATTTTCTGGGTATCTTGGACCGTTTTCCGCAGCGCACGTAACGGAATCCCTCAAAGGTTATTAATTTTCCCCCATTTTCTACATTTCCCACTGTTTCTTCGCTCCTATTTGTTGTAGACTGATGTTTTATAGTCTAAAGACTTTCTCGATAAATGATTTAACCAATACAAATAGATTTTGTCAATTCGAACCAGTAGTACTTACCTGAGTTGAGGTGTTGGTTAGCTTTTAAGATAAACTTTAAAAAACGCGGACGACGTCGTGGGCAACTGCTAGTGTTATATACCATATATACCCTGTATCTATTTCAGATGTATCAATAACAATTCCCCAATTTGATGGAGATGCGATGGTGTCCTTGAATCGAAGGCCATTTGGACGAAATGAGCAACGACTGAGCACTCTACCAACTAAGCCAAGTTACATTTCCTTCAATTTCAGTACAGCGGAGCCGAGCGGATTATTGCTTTGGATAGATATGGTAACATAATTGTAAAATGTTTAAATATACAATCGCTATTAAGAATTAAAAAAACAATACGACACGGGAGAGACTTTCCCCGAACCATTCATTTTTAGATGGGCTGAAACTCTTCTGAAACGTGTTCGACTTCGTTTGGAAACCTGGATATTAAATGAAAGGTGAAAATGGAATATCGAATTTCCGTCCTGATCGCGTTCCGGAACCACCGTTCGGCCGCGAAAAGCCCTTGATGAGTTTAAACACGTTTTGGTTTTAATTTCCATAGCCTAAATAGTTCGACACTGCATCTTGTTTAGATGTCTATACCTAGTGAAAAGTCGTCCCGCTTACTCCTTTCCGGAGATAGGATTACCTATACTGGTTTTGAATCATGGATTCGTTTCTTTTCATAATTATTACTCATCTGAATTTTTTTTCACTCTTATATTTATCCAGGGTGCTGACTATATAGGGCTGGGTCTTGAAAACGGCTTCCTCAAATTAGTTTGGTCCCTGCACTGCAACAATTTGGATCAACCCCGAACAAAGCCAAAGATGGCGAAAGGAACATCGCGAATTGTGCAATCTGGATTCATGGCAGATGGCGAATGGCACATGGTCGTGTTGCATTTGAGGGAAAACATATCTTTGTTTGTTAACCAAGCAATGTACTTTGACGAAGTTTGTTTTAACGATCATGAGTTTGTGGATGTGGATACTTATATTGGTAAGTACCATGACTAATGTAGGATGATTAGTTTAATCATTGACAATTGGACTGATGAAGAGAATTTGAAAAGCCCCAATAAACCCGACTCTTTCTTCGATCCTATTGCTCCCAGCCTGATTTATACCCAAAAGCCATCTTCTATAAATGGTACGAACACAAAATATTATATATAGAGTTCAAACAGTTTATAATATCAGTGGATATTGATTTCTTGAAGTCAGTCCTGAGTTTTGAGGTGTGGCTGAGAGAGCTCGATAAACTACTGTTTCTGATATGAACCACTATTTTAGTAGCGTTGGGTCTTAAGCCCTCTCTGTGCCTAGTAGTGGACCATTAAGCAATAAAGAGGAACCACCAAAATGACAGGTCAGTATCTTAATTGATAATAATTTTGTAGGTGGAGTCACGGAGGACATTCCGAAGGTTAAAACGCTCTTCCCACAGAACTTTAAAGGTTGCATCGACAACATATCATCGAAGGAGGCCAGCTATCTAAATGACTTCTCGGATGTGTATAGCGAAAACTTAGTCGCGTGCCAACCTTTCCCTACATGACCTCTACTATAAGTCACGCACTAAGCTAGTGTTTATCTTAATACTCATAGTACAAAGCTGTCTAGTCTAAATCGTGTTCAACTTGTAAAACCTCTTAACATAGGCCCCGTATCACGTTTGTTATAGAGTTTCGAAATAAAATAAAACATTTGTCGTACACAAAATATAGTTTTATTGATATATTTCACGTTTAATAAATTGTATACATAACATCATCAAATATTATATTATAAACATATACATTTCGTTATACGTCACTAATTCAAACAAAAATACAATACGAGATGTTATCCCCATTAATCATACGTGTCATTAATAAAAAAAATAGTTCAACATAGTTTGAGTTACATACTTTGACATACGCTTGAAGCTCGGTTATATACATTCCCGTGGAGAAACATGTACATTAATTAGTCATAGAATTCATTTAGGCCTATTTACAAGTGGAATAAACTTGGAATGCTTCACTGTAGTACACAATTTTGATTGCGATCTGTGTATTGTACCATATAAAATTCATTTAGGAACGATTCCCTTTATACAAAGCTATAAATTCATTGATACCATCGTTAAAAATAAATATTACAAAATATTAAGCCGTAACTAATCGATTGCACATTATGCTTATAAAGTTTTCCAAAATAAAAACGTGTAACGCGATCGGTAGCTGCGCTAAGGATACGTCAATGCAAGGATTGGCACGGGAAGGAAACATCTAGGAATGTCTCTGATAACGCCACATTCAGACAGGAGAGAAGCTGATCACAGAAGTACACGCACAGCAAGTATGATAAAAGCCCTAATATAGAATCGGAAAGCTCTTGTCCAGGACAAAGAAACGAAACGTGGCGAGACATCTAATGCGTTAAGGCCTATGTGTATATAACGTTAACTATTACTATTACGATAATACCACATTATTATTTGACATCTTCAAACAACATTTATTACTCGTGAATAATGACACTAAGAACATCAATGTGAGTCGCGTACGCGTTCCCTCTAACTCCATTAAAAGAATACAATAAAAGACTTACCTCGCTTATCTACAAACTATTTCATGGAAAAATTATATTTAGAAGAATATCTGTTAATATTTTCTCTAATATATCAATTAACGTAACAAACATCGATACATGATTTTGATCTATTTTTTTTTTTTTCTTTTTTTGGGAAATATGTTTCCATAGATTAGGTCGCATCCGACAGATTACTTATTAATACCGGGTGGTAACAATCTCAATAAATTTTATAATCTCTAAATTTATAAACATTCTATATTACAATAATGTCATCGATAAACGTCATGTTCTATGAATAAAACAAATTAATTATTATTTAGCATAAATCGTTAAAGGTACATAGAATTTAACAAATAATAGTATTAAGTAATAAGAAATAGGATTATAATTTGACATCGTAATAACATAGAGGGCGAGACGCGCTCGCCTTAATAGACAAATAGTTGTATTCCACTTAGTCTAACCCCTCAGTCGGCTCGAAATCTAAAACTGTTTAAAACCGGTTACGAAAGCCATCGAAACAATTCTATAGACAGAAAGCATTTCTTTAAAAAATCAGTCTCTATCGCATAAGGAGATGATCACAGCACGCACACTGGAAACTCGTTGCAAGGCGAGGGACCACGCCCCTCCTAACTCAACTTTATCTTAAGAGCACCGTCGTCACTAATTCGCTATGCTTATCATAAAATATATGCAACGTACCAATTGAAAACTTTTATAAAAATATCAAGTGTATGGAGAATAGCAACATACCGAGCTACAGACTGCATCTACCCACCGGGAAGTGTTTTCATTTAGCTATAAATAAACAATCAATAAAATATATAAAGCTGCTAAAGTAACTGAAACGTATAGACTAGATACGAGAGGAGAGTCCACAGACGAGTAACACTTCCATAGATACAATTTACACTTTTGAGATGGCAACATTTACATACGTATAAAACAACTAGAGTAGGGACTGACGATTTGTAACACGATCGGATCGTGTGCGCAAGTCCATAGAGAAAATGGATGTGTTTTTTTTACTTAACACTATTATGTTTAGTTTCATATCCATATTCTCTATAGATGGCAGCACCCAAGTCTAAATACAAATGCTAGGCCGTACAGAGCGATTCAATACAAAAACGAACATCAATTTGAACTCGCCTATATTTTTAAAAAAGATACACTAAGCAAGATAATTATCGCCATCAATGCGACGGCTTATGTTTACTCTAATTATGTACATTTCGATGGAACGAGGGACACAGAAGCGTTAATTACATGCGATTTAGACAATTACTGAATAAGCCCCCTTCTGACCAATTCGGATACCCTCGCTATAAGCTAGCCCCTACCTAAATATAATTGCACTCCAAGAACGACGTGAGCCGCGCCCCTTTCTAATTCCTGACATTTGATTTGTATAAAAATTGCACCGTACCTTGTTCCCGGATCGAAACACTCGCATAACGCACTAGCGATGGACCAGACTCGACGAAAATTATCAAGAGAATACAATGATAATAGTTTTAGTAACAAAAATAAAACTTGGTAGTTCAAATGAGTTAATATGTAGCCATGGCAACTGAAAAGCACCATCATCAGATCGTAGTTAAATTAAATAACTTTAAATTAACTCGTTTAAACTTGTTTTACTTAGTGGATGTTATATAAAAATCGAGCATAGGTATTAATTAAATTAAATTCTCTTTTCATACCGGACTTGGGGGTATTTTTAATAATATATTTAAATTACAACTCCCCTGAATCCACGTTGAACTTCGAAACGAAAGAAAAAGTATCAAGATCGCTACATCGCAGTAGTCAGTCCACCGCAATGAAGGCAGTCGTGTAGTGTGAGCGGCGGCGAGTGGGTCACAGTAGAGCCAGTGCTCTCGGTCGCGCCGCCGCGAGCGCGCGTCACGGCCGCGGTTCGACCAACCTCTGCACCAGGATAGCCACTAGCACGGCGAGCAAGAGGAACCCGCCCGCCATCACTAGCGCCACCTGCCGTGGGGTGAGACTGCGTGACGCTCGCGCCCGGCGCACGCGCACAGCCGGCGGTGCGCTTGGAACGCTCACTCGTGTAGTACCAGACCACGCGCTTGTTAGCCCCTTGCGGATTGCGCAGACGCGGACCAGATACTCGGCGCTGTACTCCAGATCGTCCATTTGGTACTGCGTATCCACGCCGGAGTATATCTGAAGATGGACAAAATGATTAGTACAACAAAAATGTTTTAACTACAGAAAGGAATTAATACAATTAATTATAAAAAAAATTTATAAGTATTGTCTGTAGTTTACGCGAGTAGGACACTTTGAAAAATATAACACTTAACGGTTTCAAAGCGAAACGTATTAGTTTACTTATTTACAATTTATTTTCACTACGGAAAACCCCGTGACCACGCTGTCTCCAGGCTGCTGCGAAACAATGAATGAATGTATATAATACATTTCGCATTTTTAACCGTTACGTGGTTTTTAATTATATTTAATATAATTCAATTTAAAGATAACTGAAGTTTCTTTTCAGATTTGTTAATCGCAAAACATTTACCTAAGAAACACCTAATTTTTTCTTAGGTATGATATTTATTGCTTTTAAATCTGAAATACTCACTTGTTTAAATACAGCATCCTTGGCTCGGGCACACTGCAGCACGAATTCAGCATCATCCATAGATTCCCAAGCCAATAGCGCCGAGCGCGGGGCGACCAGCTGCACAGTCGGGGGGATGTGGCGCGGGGGGGAGGGGCAGCTATTGTTCCACACTCCATAGGCTCAGACCAAAGTCCTCGCCCGCCACGCTCCTCGCTCGCTCGTATCCTAAAGGAGTATGACGTCGCTTCACGCAGTTTCTTAATCTTGCACGATCGCGCCGAACCACGATACACTGGCCGGAACTCTCGCGCGTCTGGAGCACGCATTTCCACGCAGTACTGAGCACCTTCTACCACTGATGACCATTCCAATCGTATGTAATTATGCGCCGCTTGAGCGCACTTCAAATGCGGAGGAGAAGGCGGCCTCGGCCTGGTCGACGCTCGCGCTTCTTCAGACCATTCTCCAAGTCCCAGCTCATTCAAGGCGGCCACTCGCACACTGTATACTGTATCTGGTTCGAGACCTTCCACTAACTGCTCTGGTGTGGGTCCTTCAGAGTCAAAAGCCTCCTCGCCCACTTTGACACGATACGATAAAACCTCAGCGCCGTGAGAAGCCGGGACTCGCCAAAACAAATGAAGCGACTCTGCAGTGGATTCGTGTCGGATCCCAGTGGGAGCAGCGGGGGGTGCGCGAGGCATCAACGCGTCTCTTATGCCTGACCAGGGCCCCCGACCCGCGGAATTCGTTGCGCAAACTCTAAAGAAATATGGCGTAAATGGTGTCAACCTATCTACCACGCACGCTGTCTCAGCGCCTCTATAGACTTGAGTGAAAGAATCATCTATGTTGACTCCACTCATTTCCACGTGGTAGTCAATAATGGGCGCTCCGTTAGAGATGGGAGGGTTCCATTCTAAGCAAGCCGTTCGAGAACTTTCTATCGTCGCAGTTGGAGGTTCCGGCGCATCCGGTGGCGCGGCCTTGGTCGCGAACCGGAGCGCTGCAGATGGTGGACCGGCCCCTACAGTGTTGCATGCGGTCACCCATAGTCTATATTGGCAGCCAGGCGTCAAATCTCTTACTACACACTCGCATTGCGGGCCGGTATGAGCCAATCTGACAACACCATCGTCACCAGCTAATTCGACGCGATATTCAGTTATGGGGGAACCCCCTGTACATTCCGGGGGACGCCAGCGCACAGAGACCAAAGTGGCCCGGGGTTCTGTGACCAGTTCGGGGGCATCGCACACGCTAGGGGTCGTCGCTTCCGTGGACAGGACTTCCGTTGTCGACCAGTCGCTATCTCCGGCGACATTAGCGCACCGAACTCTGGCTCGATACGATGTTCCAGGTGACAATCGATCACAATGCGCTTCACGTTCGGTTCCTTGATACGCACATCTGTATCCTTCTCCGCCGTCCAACTCCAGGGTGTAAGATTCTATTGTTGCACCTCCGTCTTCGCTCGGCGGATCCCATTTTAGTCTAAAAGCCCGCGAGTGCACTTTACCCTTGGTCGCGGGTCGACCGGGCGGTCCAGGTCTCTCGGGCAATGTTTTATAAGTAACTTCTATTGACCACGGACCTTGGCCATCAGACGTCTCGCAGCGTAGTCGAAATCGATAATCCGTAGCCCGCCGCAAACCTTCACAAATGTAGGTGCATTCTGAACCACTGTAAACTGGGAGGAATCCGTGTCCTCGAATAGCATCGTCCATTTGGAGGGTGAATTCTTCATCGGCGCGACGTTCCCAGTTTAGCTTCAGGGTCGTAGTGGTAGAGTCTAATAGAGTAGGAGGCGCGGGTGCAGGGGGTGGAGAGCCGGCCGTCCATACGACGGTCTCCTCGCTCCATTCTCCTCGACCACATTCATTTACAGCCGCAATGCGGAACTGATAGCGGGTTTGTGGTTTGAGATTGTTAACCGTATGTTGTCGCGTACGGGGCCGGGTGATTTCCACAAAGCCATCTCCAGAGTCCATTTGAAGGATGTAATGGGTTATTCGGGCTCCGTTGTCAGAGATAGAGGGCCAACGTAGGAGAAGAGACGTCCTTTGCCTCTGTGTGACACGTGCGGGCGGTAGACGGTCAGGTGGGGCTGGGGGCGCCCTGAACGTCGCCGCCTCACTTGCCGCACCTATTAGCTCACCAGCGCGTATTTGTAAGCACACTGAATACTCACAGCCAGGCCTCAAGTCCCTTACCCTGGAAAAAAAATAAAACTATAAACAAACTTTGTAAGAAAAATCAACAACAAAAAGTAATAAGTGTATATATGCTAGCATATACATTTTTTTTATTACTTCTCCTTTTTTTTCTAATTGCCTAACAAGAATTTTTCATAATAATAATTTTTTTTTTCTGATTGTCAGGTTTAAATGCGAACTGATTGACATTTTATTATTTTAAAGTTGTTCATAGAATTTTAAAGGCTAAAAAAGGCTCGCCTACATCATCCTGCCTCACAATATATTTATACGAGTACTAAAATTATTTCAACTTAAATTACCTGCAAGACAGAGAAGGGCCGCTGTAGATGGCTTTATATCGGCCACGGTCTCCTAAGAGCAAGTCATAAGTTAGTTCCACATTAGGCATAGTGACACCTTCTGGTATTGGAGAGTTCCATTGCACCAGAGCACTAGTTGGAGTCATATCACTGACCTGTAAAAATCATACATTTCATTAGAATTCATATCTACAAGAAAGAGAACTTTTTTATTGTTCAATTTAAATTATTAAAAAAGTAACTACCTGAGGAGTTCTCGTAGCGGAGAGCAAGTCTAGTAAAGCTTGAGTGTCATTCTCATCATCACCCTGAATTGATGCACCGGCAGATGAGCCCTCACCCTCGGACCATGTGCCTGATGAAGCCCCACCACTACCACCTCCGCGACCATTAAGTTCTTTGCGAGGTGACAATGATGGTGTGCTAGCACCCGAGTTTATTTCTATTGATAGAAAAAGCAGCACATAAGAAATAAGGTAAACAGATAAATACATGGTTCAAAACATTTTAAACTACATACCTGTACCATTATTCCTGTTGTTTTGTTTCCTTTCTAACTTTTGTTTTAACTTTGAATACTGTCGTTGAGTCCTCTCATCTTTAGGGTATATGGGAGGAGGTGGTGAGTGCTGCATATGATGAGGCGGCACATGATGAAAGTGGGCGGTATACCCTGGCCCATAGAAGTGCTGCGGACCACCGGCACCATTTGTGGGGCCCTAGTAATAATTTATTTATTAAATATACTTCTATTGATTTATTACATAACTAAATTTATATAACAAATGTAAAATAGTATTTCAAAGCTAAACATTAAAAAAATAATAGTTTTATATTCAAAAAGGGTATTTTTAATTTGTGCCTAATGAATGGGACTTATTCTGCATTCTAGATTGAGAAATTTCAAGTATGCCCAACACGTTAGTATTAACATGAGTTAACAATACCATATGGTATGAGGTTGTTAGAAAATTCAGTATAATCTATATATCAACAAAATATCCATATTATGTACAGCTCACTTATGTTTGTAAACAAGACCTTCCCCGGACATGAATAGAAACACTTATATTCAAGTATATTAACAAAGTTATGCGTATAAAACAGGTGTATCGCACCGACCTTGGATTCTCCCGTTTCGTCAGCATTTTCACTGCCATCGCACATATTAACAGGGAAAAGCAATTTCTATTTACTTGTTACCGCCGATGCGTGTCAAACGAAACGTCACTGCCAAGTGCCACGTACTGCCAACTTGTAATGTTTACGGGCGTTCATGTTGATAATGATAAGGTGCGGTGCACACTCACGATTTTCCAATCAATAATTTTAAGCGAGCTACCCGACTAGATACGAAAACGCAGTTTTGTTGCACTAACGTCTTATTTACGGTGGCTTTAAGTTTATATAAGTGATTTGAATAAAACATTTTTACGGTAAAAAAGGCGATATATATTACTTATTTGAAAAATGTTTTAACTACGGCCCGACGTTTCGGATGCTTTGCAGCAACTGTTACGGGGTCTCCCCGTTTCCCTATACAATCATTTTCAAATAAGTTAAACTAATATACATCGCGTTTTAAACCGGTAAAGTGTTTATTTAAATGTGTACTAGTCGCAACTACAGACAGTATTTTTATATAAGTGAGTTTTAGTAGCACATTATACCATTTTTTTAAATTGGTTGAGTAGATGTACTATGTATTTGGCTTGGCTTATGCCAACGAAAATCGATTGGATACTGTTAATATTAATTTAATGTTTACACAGTAACATCTGCTATTCAATGATAATTGCACGCAATAAATATAACAAACTGAATATTCGAGAAGTCTATATACATATAAGTTTGAACAAAATATTGTTTCAGTTTTTTACGCTGTTTTGTAGATCAATGTTGTTAAGACGATACAACAGTGTACAAATGAAGTGCAGTTACTTAGATGTAGATGGCGTTGTGATCATTTTATTTGTTTATGCCGGGAAAGTTAAGTACGAGTATGATACTTTTTAAAGATGTAACACTTTTCTATGATTTTTCATTTGTTATATTGTATCCCCCTTTTTTTCGATTAGGGGAGAAGAAATAAAAAATAATACTTCGACACAGAATATTTATGTATTATACCTGTCCAACATTTGAAAAAGTTGGTAACTGGTTTTGACGGTTTTATTTCTAATACTTACATATGGATGGGGCGGCTGATGGTGGGGCGGTGGTTGATGGTGGGGTGGCTGATGGTGAGGTTGATGGTGCGGCTGGTGGTGGTGCTGCGCGTGCGGGTGCACCAAGTAGTGCCGCATGCCCTCGTCCAACACTGGCGGCATAAGTTGGGGCATCATCGCTGCTGATGTTACCACCGGCATCCCACCTAAAAAAATCATTGAATTAATTGGTGATGGATTATATAGAAAATTAATTATTATGATGCAAGTGTCTAGGTGTAATAGAAATATAGGATAGCAGTTAAATACAAAAAAGAACGTGTAGAGATTAGTTGCATAGATAAAATGAAAATAACAAGTTTAATTCAAGTTTTTAACCGTTTAATGAATAATTAGTACTATTCGCCTAAGGTAATTAATTGTTATTTTAAATTATAGACAGTGTAAATATAAAATAACGCAGCTGTTAATCTGTGTACAAAATACGTTTGTACTGTTTTTTTTTTAATATTTGTTTAATTATAAAAAACGAGACGGCAGGAAAAGGGGCTTTTAGATTAGTTGTTTGTTATCAACAGTAATCAACAATAGAACATTTTAATATATATAATAATGTACTATTGTAATAATTCGCTATTTACTAAAAATATTCTTACAGAATCACCTTGAAGTTCTTCCTAGAACGAATCCAGACGTTCAAGTACTTGGAAGTTGGCAAAACTTTTGTCCAACACCGATGAGTCACAACGGACAATGGTATTGAATGAAACTTGCATGAATGGATTCCATTTTTAGTTATAATCGTAAATGGGGCATGACTAAGATTTAAGCTTGGGCTCGTTGGTCTAATGGTAGCCATGACTAGTAATCAACGGTTAGTGGATTCGATCCCCACCGAGCCTAAGACTTTTGCAAAAACACGTTGTACTTCTTCTGGAAACCTGGATATTAAATGTATGGTAGGAATATCCGGAATCCATCCGGGTCCAAACTACTGTCCACAGATGTGAAATTTAATCGCGTTTCGGTTTGTCTGTGGATTTCCGATATAGCCAAAATAAAGCGTCAGCGCACCTTGTTGAGATGTTATATGACTGGGATATTATGGGGGGTATTGACCGGGGGGGGGGGGAAAGGCTATGCTCATAAGTCCTCCTCTAAGTAAACAGTAGTTTACCAAATGTAAAACAATCAATCAAATGGATATATATAGATGATTCTGCAAGGTTTAATACGATTACATACGATTATTATTAGTTAAATACGAATAACTGAAAGATTATTGAATTAAGGGTTGTGTTAATTTTTAACCTCATTATAAAGGTATAATATAACCCAGTTTAAACTGGTAAATAACAATGCTCTTTTTTCGAGCATATCTTGATACCTAAATCTTCTAAATAAAACACTTTAACGGTTTAAAACGCGATATATTAGTTAAACTTATTTGAAAATGATTTTTAACTTCGGCCCGACGTTTCTTAACTAATATATCGCGTTTTAAACCGTTAAAGTGTTTTATTTAAATGTGTACAGTACCTAAATCTTCAGCTTGTCTTATGCCTTAAATTAGTAAATGAACGGATTTGTTTTCGAAATCATAGAATGCAATGTTTTTTTCGTTTCCTGAAGCTCTGATTTCTGCTACAGAACTACACACATAACGAAATACAGATATGACTTATAGTTGAATTCTATAAGTCTGGGCCTATAACGCTATTGAATAATAAGTTCATTGTTGTATTCCAATGCGACAGCCTCGGCGGAAGACAAGCAGTCAACCATGGACCATGGATGTCTCAATCTGTCATCTATTCCGCTGCGTACAGTATTCATGAATAGAACTTAAAATTTGCGATGTAATAACTACCTATTCGTCAGCTGTTAGAGACGGAAAATTATGGTACGTTATTATATTGTACTCAACGTTACATGTTACTGATATTGAAAAATCCCCGCATTGGATTTGTAAAGCAATGCGTGATAAATAAAAATAAGGAAAATTGTCGGTTTGATACCGTTTCAATTTAATTTTTAAATTGAGAATAAGTTGCCTAATACAGATTGATTTGTTTAAAAGTGTTTTCATGTTATACCACTCGTGTACCAACTACTTATATACCTACCTACTCGTACGTGTCAACACTATACGGATTCTTACTAAAAACGTACTTTAACTTAACACCAACATGTTTTAGAATTGCCTAAGTAAATATTTAATTAGATTACTTTTTTGTTACATGCCAATATTTATCAAAGTTTAATTTTCAAACAATTGCATATCCATCCCAGTATACGTCTAATGGAGTTTGCCTGAAAGACACCACTTCTTTACCATAAGCCTACACTTAATTAATTATTTAATTACCTTACTATCTAAGTTACAGTTTGATTCCAAAGGTTTGATGTTTTATGCAGAGTGTATGACTGTAGCGTATAATAAGGAACTTAAATAACTTGAACTTAGAAATTGACTCACTGTAATCAGCGTGCATGGTGCACATGTGCGTGTGCTGCGGATGCTGCTGTGGGTGCGGACACATCTCCGGCGGCACATAGTAGGGCTCAGGCGGGTAGTACTCGCCGTAGTACCCTTCCCCCGCCCCGCCAGCGCCGCCACCCTCCGCCACGCCCACGCCCACCATCCTCTGCACTAGCAGCTCATTGCACGCCGTCGTCCGCGTCGCATCCGTGGCCTTGGCACACGTGCCAACCGTCCGTCAATCTGGAATAGAGGATCGGTGGGTTAATATGTGACACGAAGTAAGTACATTCGTGATGGGACCTAGCATGACAATGGAACACTAAATAATCAAGGTGCTACCATCACTTCGAGACATAATCGTAGCGTTAGGTCATTTTCATAATAGATGAGTTTTGTTGGTAGGTGAAATATCCCAGCCGTGTAATATGATGCGCTGCCTGCGCATGCGGCAGAGTTAAGGCTAGAACTAAGACGTAACTGCTCAAAGCCTAAGATCAAATCTGACGATGAAGATGAAGTGTAGTGTATAGAAGAGGTAGCAAGTCTTTAATGTTGTGACGTTCGAATGTTATGCTTCAATTTACTTATCAAAGCAATATTTTGTAAAACTACCGTCGTTTTTTAATTTAATCCAATTGGAAGTAATGGACATCCGTGTAGACGCATCGTGACGGCATTTTGCCTTTTAAATACGTCGCTGTCATGTCGGCTCACGACTTCGGCTTCGATGAGCCAACAATCTGTGTCAGTGCTTTTTGCTGGCAAAGCCACTTTAATGTTTCACAAAGATTTTAGTATATCGTATATAAGACAAAGACAAGCTCACTTCTAATTTATGAAATTATAAACGTTACATTTAAAGAAAATCAACAGATATTTTAAATTTTTAACAGTCAGTCAACTTTAATGAATGTAATTTTTTGTTTAAAATTATATTCCAAAGGTTTAAAGTTGATAAGGAACCAAATTTCCGATTGAATGTTAAGTTAATGTTATCGACAATTAAACAATACAAAATCAATATTTCAACAATGTGATGTTAAAAACGCTGTGGATTTAATTATTTTCTCTTCAAAACGATTTTTAAGTTGCGCTTTAATCTAATCGCAAATATAAAAACTTAGAAATCTTTTAACACTCGCAAATTCGAACAAGGAGTTTGATTAATGGTCTTTCAACTGCGCGAAAATCTTTGAGACGAAAATGGAATTTTAAATCGGTGATTTTGAAAAATGATAACGAAGTTTTAAAAATCGTAACGGAGAAATAACCGTTAACCGTTATACGTAATAAGTAAATCCACTGTTCAGTATTATATTTTATCATAGCTTTGAACAGGACTTAGCGACTACCGTACATTTGTACAACGATTTTCCTTATAGCTTACAAGCATAACGATTCTATGGATAGCATATGTATGAAGACGGATAAATAATTCTACGGAGTTTAAATTAACTACATTAACTATAGCGAATTAGGTCTTCAATTCCACTACAATGATGATTTTAGTGTATATATTTACTCTATAGCTAATACAACTTAGTACCTAAAATTACGACGGGGTTTCCCCTGGCAACATGAAGCCGATATCTGACGAGACTTCGAACTGTTCCAGTTTATTCATAACTGTAAACAATGGATACGAAAATAAATCAGCTGATCGATTAAAGTGTAATATGATCTTGACACCTAGACGACGCACTGTCTTAGTCATTTTCGCTGCTTTGCTTGATTTTTAAGTTCTTAAGCTATTTGTAAGCTATTCTTTTGTTGTACTTACTAGTGTAACCCTGTTTTCCCCTATGGGGCATGGTACATTTCTGTGTTCGTTTATTTTACAGTCAAGTAGGTGAACAAACTTCTGTGGCCTGTCCAACCGAAACAATATCTGTTTCATTGGTATTTGAACCCAGGTTTAAATAGATTACTTCTATAGCAAAGCAGTAAAACGTTGTGGCTAAAGACAGTACGCAACGCTCCTTTCGCCCCTAGATTTTTGTGTGTCACAAACAGGATAACTTGATATCGTACTACGAGTAATATTAAAGTAGATGTAATTGCATAGTTTATTTAAATATTATATTTTAAAGCAAAAGATTTTGAAGAAAAATTTGATTTTTTTTTTTCAAATTTGAAGAAGTTCTATATATTTATTATTAGTTATAGTTTTTATTGAGTTTTGATCGTTCCGTAGAATCTTGCATTAAGCAAATATTTAGCTGCTAATAACTAACAACGATTTGAAGATAGATTATGTATAGGATTACATGTCTTTACTCTAATATTAAGTATTTAAAATAGTATCGAGGCGAATACGCAAAAAGGGAACTTAGGTTATCGGAATGCATCTTCTAAGAATAGCTCCTTAATTTGTTTACATCTTCTTAGACAAGGATCAAACGATATCGAATGCAAATTGTATATGGTGAAGCTTGAGCCTTACTTAGAAATAAAGTCTTTTACCAACGACTCGAAACAATTTTTTAACATGATTAAAAAATATATATACAATTGTATACATTATAATCAACACATCAGTAATGTAAGTTCTAACGATTTGCAGATGAAAAGACCAGATTGAAATGCTTAACGAAAATACATTTTTCGTTCGCGAGTTCAAAGTAGTTTGAGAGATCAAAATTAATGACTGAAAGAAACAATGCATTCAACTCCGCATTTACTACAGATTACGAAATCACAATACAATTTGTTTTATAACTGCGAGAGGCCTCATTACACATTGTATCAAAAACGTTTTATGTTTTATCTTTTAGTTATTACTAAACATGGGCGGAGTGTGGTCCAAACGACTGTATATAACCGAACATTCGGTTTAAATTCAAAGTTTGGGTGTTTTACAAACAAGGCATGATTTTAATCAATAAATGTTTTAACAATAATATAATCAAGGTCCTGTTTAGTTTAAGTAACTGCGAAAATTAAGGAGTAGCCATATAATATTTGTTTTTTTTTTATTACTGAAATTACGTATAATGATCTTATTTAAGTATAAGTACACCATGTAATGAAAATGCGAAGCTTATTCTCTATGCGAAATAATTAAGTATACTATATTTTTTAAGTGCAAAATTATTAGTTAAAAGACGATTTTCTTTGATTTTTGTATCTCTTAAACCGAATTTTGGCCAAACGCTGAACATCGGCTGACGCTTGGTTAAACCGAATATGCGACGCGAACTTTGGTCCATATCTAGCTATTACACAATGTGGGTACAATGTACATAGTAGGTACGTATCCCAGTCCGGCGATCATTCATCGGCCGATTATGTTTAATTGAATAAACGGAGAGGTGGCGATGCGTTCGCGCCGGAATCCGTCCTCTTGTTATGTAAATATCTCAGTCCAGTCTGGCAGGGTCACGGACAGAAACACACGATAAAGTCAAAATATCTGTTACTACACGTGTACTAGACGAATAGTGGAACGAACAATTTAAGTGCTATTCAAGGATCGTGTCGGTACATTAAATAGCTCTTTGTAGGCGCGCTCAGCACGCCAGAAGTTCGACACATATTCACCGAAAGAGTGATGCTATGCTGGGAACACAAACATGGCCTCCTTCAAACAAACTTAATTAGCATCGCAGGCCACCTATATAAAATATCGAATTCGCATATTTAAATAATACCTTAAAAAAATATTTGTATAACAACTACCCCGCTTTAGAGTAGCCGTGGCCACGGCGGGAAACAACCAATGTTTCTCAATTGTTAGCTTATAGCTAGTAGAGGAGCGGGTGTATATTTAAATGTGTTCTTCGATTTACACATATAGCAAAACAACAAAGCACAGTGGTTTGCTATTCTTCTAAGTTTAGTTAGTACTAGTTAGACGTTTCGGATGTTTTGCGGCAGCCGTGGGCACTTTAACGAATATATATATCGTTTTAAACCGTTAAAGTGATTTTTTTAATGTGTATTACTAGCGTAAACTACAGACAGGGTTATCATTACATATCTATCTTTATATGGTATTAGGACAAATGTAAAGATACTGTAATGGTCTGTAGCTATGGCGTCTCACTCCCAAGCATATTGATTTCACGCTGGTAGAGGCAATTTAGCGGTTACGTTTTTTTACGATACAGCTATCGTTCGGATAATTGAAACGTGAGTACGTATCGAACTAATCTCGCCGCTGACGCACATACCAGCATTTGCACAGTTATGAGCTATGTCTGACGTTTTTGAGCGTTCGAGGAATTCGCAATTGCAATACACCAACGAATACCTGGGGTTTTTACTCTTTACAAAAATACCGTGTAAAATATATAGTAAATATTGGCTTTTAACTAAACCTGTTAATGTCCCAATGGTGGGCAAAATCGATAGAGGGGTTTAGCTATTCTCCGGGAACACGTTCTACTTCCAAAACTACCCACTAGAAATTTACTTTGAAAAATTCTAAATAGCGAACTAACTTAAGTAACTATCTATAGTTTACGCAAGTAATACACATTTAAATAAAACACTACAAATACCGGCTAAGAACGCAAACAGTTAACAGTGTTTTATTAAAATTAAACAAATTTCTCCCCAACCAGCACTTCGTGATGTGGTGACAAAGACCTTAGTCTTTATTCCATATACCAACAAATAGTAGGTATATGTAATAAAGACGTTATTTTATGAGAAAAACAATGAGAGATTTGTAAAATATGTCATAAGTTAAACATACGACGAGGTTTATCAGAATTGGCCTTTGCGCAGCTCCATTAGGTATTTCCAAATGTCAAGATGTGCAAAAGGAAGTTATCTAAACGCGTAGCTTGAATCGAGAGTTGCTCAGACGTTCTGCGAACTCATTAACATAGCGAAATGTGAGGACGCGGCACGAATCGGCCTACTGTCAGTTGATAAATAGATACACGTTTATAATCTACATTCAACGTATTTTTGAATTTAGAATTGTTTTTTATCTGAAATTCTTATGATACATATAGATCACATTATCTGTGGAGGTTTTAAACTAGTTTTTGAATTTAGAAAGTTTCGTTATCTGTAATTGTATATTATATAGTTTAAAAAATGTACGTGAATCAGTTAAAAAAAAAAACCCTCCCGGGGGGGAAAAAATTGGGTTTGGGTGGTTTTTTCTTTTTTTTTCATACAATGTTTCTTCTCTCCATTTAACGACAA